ATAATCCACACTTTATAAAGGCGAAAGTTTGTAAGTGGATGTATGGAGAGGATGTTTGTTACTCTTTCACGTAAAAACTACTGAATGGATTTGAATGAAACTACACAGCTTAATCAAATAACATATAGGCTACAATTTTGAGGTTTTTAATGTCGGGTCGTAAAAAAAACATTTTTTGCGCTTACATTCAAACCTGACTAATCCTACAAGATAGATCAAAACAATGTACTACAGTATTGTACAACTTAAAAAGGTCTCCAAAAAAGTCCGTGATGGTATATGTTTTCTCTTAGGAATAACCCACAAAACCATTTATCCTTTACTTTGTACGAGAAATAATGGCTTATTTACGAAGCGATTTTAAGCAATACAGTTTAATCCTTATCCAATTAAGTTCTTAAATACATTGTGCATTTATTAAAGATCAATATGGCTTTTTACACATGTAAATTAAATAAATATTTTCGAAGATATCACAGATTTAAAATGCAGAGTCATAGGAATTTCGGCGATAAATACCGGCAGCGGTGCCAGGCGAACGGGGCGTGGGGGGAGCGGGGTAGGTGCGGTAGGGAAGAAGTGGCTCATCGCTGAGTGCGCGACCCGAAATCGGGCAGGCGCGTGAGGGCAGACGTCGTTGACGGTTGTGTCCGTTTTGCGAATTTTCAAGGCAACGATTGATAAAAACGTATGGTCGCCTACTTAGTTATACAAGCCTAAGGTTGTTATTGCCAGGTTTCTTTGGTTAGGAGTTACACGTACAAAAAATACTTCATAATTCAATTACTAGTAGGTTAATTAAATAGGCAAGGATTGCATTAAAGTACAATATAACAATAACTACCGTACGTATGGAAGTATAGAAAAACACGTACTTAAGAATTATGCCGCGAAAGCGTAAGTCTAATCTTTCTGAAGCTCTGATAAAACTCGAAATATGAAAGTAGCTAGACTTAACGAGACGTTTCCACAAGCCGAACTGCGAAGGCTTAAACAAGCAGAGCGTGAGGCAGCTCAAAGAGCTGCTGAGACACCAGAGCAGTCCCAAATAGACGTCGACACATCTGAGTATCTACATCTCAACGGGCTGCAGAGACACCCGAACAGTCTCAATCTCGACGTCAACAGAACGCTGAATATCTGGGATCTCAACAGGCTTCTGAGACACCCGAACAGTCGCAGGATCGACAGCATTCGATAAAACTGCATTTGCCACAAGCTTATAAAAATAGAAGCGACGAATAAAGAATGCAGATTTTGCGGTGCTCTTAAATGGAAAGAGGAAGCAGGAGGCATGTGTTGTTCGGGAGGAAAAGTAGTTCTTCCTTCAATAGACGAGCCTGTTGAACCTCTTAAAGAACTTTTTTTTCAAATGAAACAGATGAGTCTCGCCGTTTTTTAAAAAACATAAAAATTTTCTCACGGTCAGCTCTATGTGGCTTGCTCACGTCTTTCCAAAGCGAGGAATCTGCATGTTTATGCTGAAGGAAAAAGATCGTTAAATGTAGTTTATAGGAGCATACTGCAGTAGCGACCTATAGACCTATGATTAGGGCTCTGCAGTGCTTAGTTACCGTATTTCTAACTGATTACTAGACTAGACGGGACGAACCTAAGCCCCGACGCGCGGGCAAAAGCTAGTATATATTAAAGTTTGTGTGCATGTAAATTACAGACAAAACTTATATATGTATAGCACATATTTGTTGTCTTTTTTATTCTTTCCTTTCAGCTAAGTACTCAAGGTGCATAACAACGAGAAATTTGTTAATATTCAAAGAGAAGTAATTATATTTGTTGGGTAATCGGAGAAGCAACAAGTTTGTCACCGGCAACAAAATGTAAACAGTTATAATTGAGTTTAAAGCGTCTTCGCATTAATTTAATAAAGTAGACAAACAAATCCAATTAAATAATGATTCTACCTGTAGTATCGTACCTGTGTAGATTTGCTTAAATACGCAAGTAATATACATAAAAAAATGACTCACAGTCTCTCCATGACCATGAATGCTGCAAAGCATCCAAAACGTCGGGCCGAAGTTAAAAATCATTTTCAAATAAGTTTAACTAATATATCGCGTTTTAAACCGTTAAAGTGTTTTATTTAAATGTCTTATATTAGTTCATTTGAATTTATGTATAAATATCTAAAAGGCTAAGTAGGCTAAGTATTTACCTTCCATCCTGTGAACTCTAGGCCCGTCTGCCCTCCTTTATCACAGCTCCAACGAAGCTCCAACAAATACCAGATAATATTGAACCAAAAACACCGAAGTTTTGGTTGTTTTTTATTCAATGTAAACTGAAGGAATTTTAAAATTAAAAATAATCTTAGTCTGTATTAATTAAAGCGTCAAAAGAATAATGTAGGTGCACACCAATTAACCGAAATAAATGTAATAAATCCAAGTGACCTAGTCTACGTCAAACGAGAAAGTAATGAAAAGAAAAGTTGGGAAGCTTTTAAATGGTGTCGAAAAAACTGTGCAAAAGTTACGCTTTAACAGTGGAATGGGAAAATTAATTAGAAGAGATTTCACTGTAATATATTTAAGTCACTTTTAATTAACAATGTAGGCTTTTCGGAGGCCTCACTTTCTTTCATTTTCTATAGTATATTCTTTACCATTAACTTTTATATTATTATATTACCTGACGACCCGATCTGAGTACAGTGCTAATACAAAATATAGCTACTACAGAATGTCCTTATAAATAACCCTTACAACTTATCATTAAACAACACAATGTGTGAAAGTCCGTTTTCCCCTCGTGGGGCATGGGGCGAACACATTTCTTTGTCCGTTTCACTGATCCGTTCTTTAACAGGCAAGTAGTTGATCAGACTTCTGTGTCCTGCCTGACAGAAACATTTTTTTGTTTCCATGGGATTCAAACCCAGGACCTCTCGCGCAAACAATGCTAAACACAAACTAGGCAATAACAAATAAATAAATTAACACAATGCTAGGCAATACGTTTAACCATTTGGCTACAGAGGCGGTCACAATAACACAATACAAACATTATTTTGTTCTGACGTAACTCTTGCAAGAGCGACATATGATGGCCTCAGTCCATGCATTTCACATCTGTAATATCTTTAGAAATATTCCTTTATTCATATAACGGAATATTTCTACGGGGAAACTCTGTATGTTCCCCCGTAACCATGATGCCTTCAAGGCATCCGAAATCAAAATAAGCTCAAAGAAATATGTTACTTTATAACACACTAGCTGTGGCCGCGACTTCGTCCGCGTGGAATAGTGACTTGGGGTAGAATTTTTAATTATTTAGGCGTTTATTAATTTATATAAGGACGCATTTAAGGCAGCCAATTTATGTTATGAGTGCTGCTTTGCCGCGACACTCACCTCACGTCACTTCTACTTTATCTCCCACTCTCATTCCTACACTCACTCCCAATCCCACAGACGATTTTGTTATATTCTATTTAGTGAAAAATTATGATATAGACAATACTGCGTTATTTTTGGTACTATTCTTAATACTAATAAATTCAGGTAATTATTTACTGTCTCGGCCATGATAAATCGATCTATCTATCTATCAGCGAGCTAACGATACCGCTAAATACCCAGCCATCCAATTTTCAAAACCGAGATCTCTCCAGAGACGGTAATCTAAAATAATTAAAACAAAAGGACGGACGGTACTTAAAGACGATTATAAGCGATCCTGGCAATACCTTTAATCCCCGGGGAAATTAAATTCGGAAAATCTGAAGCCTTTTAAAAGTAATGCTACGAAAGAGTATTTTAAGCACGATTCTACTACAGAAAGTGTAAATGAATCGTGCTAAGTATCCAATATCTATTAATAGCTGGAAAAATAAATTTGTGATTTGTTTATATAACTGAGTTTGTCTCCGCAAAACCTTACTTAGATAAAAGTATGCAATCATATTTAAAAATTATATAAGTACTAGTTTGCAACTATTTGAATATAACACTTTACACGGCTTAAAACGTGAGATACATTAGTTAACTAATACATTCCGCGTTAGAAACCGTTAAACTGTCTTATCTAAATGACCTCACGCGTAAGGTACGAACGGTTCTTAATATTGAACTATTTTAAATTAAGAATATAATATTGAACTTTTGACTGAACGTTATTTGCCCCAAATATGGGGCAAAAAGTGACAGATGATAATAAAAAAATCATCAATTAAATATAATTGAGTAATTAAAATAATATATAATGCTGAGTACAACGCAATTTACACTATCAGTTAAATAAGGAACATATTATATATATACTAGCCAAGTTAGGAAAACATCTAAAAGTTTTCAAATCATCTTTCGTAAATACATGTCCAAGACATTTTCAGTCTATTGAATAAGCGACACGTGTAGGACGTAGTTATACTTTCAGTGAATGTCAACTCGCTTCTTATCATCGTTGTAGAGATAATCACTTAGTGTCGCTTCGTAAATAGGATCTGATCTTTGACACTCGGACATCCACAGACTGGAACCGAAACGCGATCAAACTTCGCGAATCCTTTCGATAATTTAACATTTTTTAAAGATAGAGCTATGAGATATCCCCGCCTATAACATCTTAGCAAGTAGCACTGTCGACCTATTTTGGCTTTGGATATTTGGAAATCCATAGACCGAAAGCGAAATGAGGTGAAACTTCACGGTTTTTTCATCTGTTGACGGTGGTTCATGACACGGACACATTCGATATTCCTACCACCCACTTAAAACATCAATAAAAATCTGTTTCAGAAAAATTATAAACTGATTAGAAAGATGTTGGAACCAGTGGGGATCGAAATCGTGACCCGTTGATTATTAGCCGTACGTTGCCACCATCAACGAGCACATCAAACCCATTTATTATCCAGAGGAAGGCCAACAGGCTTCTTCGACATGATTATAAAATCATGTCGAAGAAGCCTGTTGGCCTTCCTCTGGTCATAGATATAAATCTATTATGATGACAAATTGATATTTTTACAGCGATCTCCGTGTCAGTGGACGTCTGGACCCTCGTTGCCATTTCACTGGAGAGATACTTCGCAATATGCAGACCACTTAAGTCTAGAAAGTGGCAGACACAGTGCCACGCGTACAAAATGATCGCCACCGTATGGATACTATCCCTTATGTTGAATTCGCCTATATTAGTCGTTTCTACGCTACAGCCTATGAAAGGTGACGGTAAGTGTCATAAATCATTTCAAAATAATACATAACCATCTGAATCCCGGGTTACTTGCCTATAAATAAAACAAAGTGGAAACGGACACAGAAGTGTGTTCACCCCAAGCCCCAAACGGAAACGGAATATCGCATAATGAAATCGGGACACTTTATTTCCAAGTAAAATGGGAAAATTTATTATTATTTTATAACTTGATATACCCCGAAGTCTGTCAAAACTTTTATATGTCTTCCTAAGATTAAATCGCTCGCGAAAACATATGGTTGGAGTTTAAAGTTGATATTGAATTACATATTATGTAGGTATATTATATTATAGTACATGGTCGTGTCGGAGTTCTTCTCCGTGACTTAAAGATTCATAATCTAGATTGACAATTAACTGATTCAGTTTGAGAATTTTCTCTAGTTGAAATGAATAGTATGAATAACTTTATCTATATAATTAATTTCAACTTTCTGATAACTAACTTTGATTGAGAATCTATAAGATGTCAGTGCAAGCAAAGCTGGCATTTTAATTTAAGCTAGCAATTAGCCAGTTAATGATATAGCTAAAATGTGAACGATAGACGTAATATATTATCTGTATGTTCTATACTAATATTATAAAGCTGAACAGTTTGTTTATTTGTTTCACCGCGATGTGTATCTCAGGAACTATTGGTTCGAATGGAAACTTAATTTTTATGTTGAATGGACCATTTATCGAGGAAGGCCTAGACTAAGGATTACTTCACGCTGCGACCTGAAGCGATGAACTGTGGAAAACATGTGAAAAACGGGCAAAAGCATTCATTTTTTAGGGCTTCCGTTACGTGCGCTGCAAATGGTTCAAGATACCTAAAAAATATGTATAAAAGTATCATTCCTGTTTAAAGGATACGTTGTCCTAGACAACGTATACTTTTAAAACTAGCAAGAACGCATTTGGTGTTAATCAAACTTGGTAGCAATAAATGCATTACCACCAATTATAACGTATATACATATTAATGTTGCAACAAAACAACGCTTACAGTATCAGCTAGGCAATTATATTAACGCAAATTCAATTAAAAAATTACTTGTATTTTATAACTACAACTCCTTATAAAATAGCATTAGGTTTTTACGTGGCCTTTTCTTTTAGCGTATAAATGCCGAGAAGTTTGGGCTAATCTAGAGCTGGAAAGAACTTTCAATCTGGGTTTGGATGCAGTGCTTCTTCTGATACCATTCTTCGTGATGTCCTTCGCGTATTGCCTGATCGTTACCAAGCTGTGGCGTGGACTGCAACACGAGATCCAGCACAATTACAATTGGCAAAGGCACCGTATGTATTTTTATTTTATGTTATGGTAAAATATGGATTGAACAGAAATCGAACTTCAGCTGAATGTTTGGTTTATGATAAGTTTTAACCATAAGTTTTAAATTAATTCAACTATTACATAACTTTTAACTAAATGGTTTAACCTACAAAGTTACACACAGGATAGTCTGAACTATAATCAAAAGTTCACGAGCCAGGCAATTTTCGAATCCACCATCAAATCCGCTCTCGTCATAACTTCCGATTCCCTATTTACTATTCCAGACGCCCGGGGCGTCAATCCTATCACAACGCAAAAGGAGAATGTAACTGACAGTATTTTACATATAAAAGTTATGTCATGGCCTACTTTACTATACTAGCTGTACGTGTCTTATCTTCTTCAAATTGTAACTTACGCCGTGATGTGAATTTCTTACAATTTAATTATTTTTTAAGTTACTGAAATCTGTTGTGAATTGCTGGTCGATATTAGCAAGTGCTTAACACGCTGAAAGGATTGCCCTTCTCTCAGTATTTCTGTTTTTTTAATTAATACGTCTCTCATATTGTTTACATTTCAAATTAAGCTGCAGCTCTTAGTGATGATAATCTGAAGGCCGAAATTTTTTGTCTATTCTCTATAAAACAAAGTGTATATTCACGCCTAATCTAAGATCAAACTCTAGATATATACAATTTTGATAATGATTTGAGATATTTAATTATTATACATATTATATAATCCACCGCAATGTAGCCCATATTTATTTATATTTAAAATAATCTAGATAAACTCTTATAATATTAGCATGACAATTAGTATAAGTACTATTTAAGAGGTTTTGTTTTGGTGAATAAAACTTTGCTACGGCGTTTGTCTTAATGAGTCACAAAATATGAAGCGGTAAATACCATTGTGTTGAAGTTATGAGAACTATTAACAAGAGTTCATTGTTTCAGTGCACAGAGACGTGTCTTGTAAAGGCCATTTGCCGGCGGCGACTCCTGCATTAAATGGCAACACTGAACTTTGCTGCAAAGTAGGGTGCAATGTGAAGAAAATCAAGGTGACATTATTTTCTATAACTTTGACATTTTTTAATTTATTTATTTCAATATTTAGTACACAAAATATACTGTTACACATTTAAATAAAACACTAACGGTTTTAAGCGCAATATATATTAGTTAAAGAATTGGTTGCTTTGCAGCAGGCGTGGTCACGCGGTCGCGCTTTAGAGCGTATAATGTGTACTACTCGCGTAAACTACATATACATATATTATCTGATTTTCCTCTTATTTCATTTTGTCACTTGAAGACCCGTATTTCTATTTACAGCAGCGTAAAGCAAGGAGATAACACGGGTATTTTAGGTATCGAAGGAGCCAAGCGTAAAAAATTCTTGCATATATGGCGGTTGAAGAAGGAGACTACAGTGGAGAGTTTGGAAAAATATGTGAAGAAGATTTATAAGAAAGAAGTTTCTGTAACGGTGGAAAAATTAAATCATAAAACGGAAAGAGATTATGCATCTTTTGTCATAGGGGTCCTAGAAAGTGATTATGAACAATTAACCAAGCCCGAAAACTGGCCACTTAACGTACAATTTTGTGACTGGCGGTGGTTTCGGAGACCCCTTAAAAGCTCCAAGGATAGCAAGTAGACCAATAGAGATTGTATATCAGAATGTGAGAGGCTTGCGAACAAAACTGCATGATTGCTTTGCAAGTATTTCAACAATGCCCGTCGACCTCTTTGCTATTACGGAAACTGGCTGCAACGGCTCTATCGCAGACGCCGAGTTCGTTCCACCGGGTTACACAGTTTTACGATGTGATCGCTTGGATGGTCGCAAGCAAGGTGGAGTATGTCTAGTAGCCGCACCGCGTCTTAAAATGCATCAGATAAAGTTACCTCGAGAGGTAAACGTTCACTCTCGAGTATTCGAAATTGTTGGTGCAACTATATTTTTGAAAAACAAATTTATGTTTTCAATCTTTGTCATTTATATTCCGCCAAATAGTAGTGATAATGAATATTTAATTTTGTTAAGAATTATAGAAGATTATTGTAGTAAACATAATTGTAACATTGTAGTGGTAGGAGACTTTAATTTATATTCGTGTTCATCTTACATTAGAACTTAGTTTAAAAATTATTTTTTAACTTTTTGCGAATTGAGTCAGTGCAACAAAATACAGAACATTAACGGCCGACTGCTGGATCTTGTTCTTGAAAGGGTTAGCATTATGACTACGTTAAGTGTGTACAGGGCGGAAGAACAGATCGTGGATGTGGACAAACAGCACCCGCCACTCCTGGTCACTATTCAATCACTAGCGCGATCTGTGTATTCAAAAGCATGTCACCCAAACCAGGTAAATAGGAACGATGGTCTGAGGTCGTGGAACTTTAAAAAAGCCGACCTATCTGAACTATATGGAAAAATTGCAACGGCAAATTGGTCCAATACATACTCCTCTAACCTAAATCTAAGTATACATAATTTTTATAGCACTTTGTATTCTTTATTCGATGATTGTGTACCACAAAGGATGGGTAGGCAATCTCAATCGAAATATGTTTATCCCAGATGGTATACAAGTGAGTTGATCCAACAAATAAAGAAAAAAGCTAAACTGCACTAGCACTACAAGTCAACGAAGTCAGTAGTGGCATATAGGGAGTTTAGTCAGTGTAGAGCTGAAGTGAAGAACTTAATTGCTTTGTCGAGGGAGCAGTATAGCAATTGTGTGGAGGCTAACATAAAATATGAACCAAGATCTTTATGGAATTATATAAATGACCATAGAGCAAATAGGCAACCACCAGAAATTATTGAAAACGGAGAGGTTTTAAGTGTCGGCCAAAGTGTCGAGGCTTTTTGCGAATTTTTTTAGTAGCGTTTATGCAGGCCAAAAGCCAAATCTAAATGTGGAGGCAGCCATAAGGGAGGCGGGGAGTAGCAACACAGTGGCAATGATAAGTGTCGAAAAATTGCAGCTAAAAGATGTGCAGAAAGCAATGCAGGGACTTAAGCCAAAAAAAGCTACTGGTCCAGATGGGGTACCTCCATATGTGCTGAAAGATTGCTGCACGGTACTAGCAGAACCTCTTCGTCATATTTTTAATCTCAGTTTAAAAGAAACCATAGTCCCAGAAGTTTGGAAAAATAGTAAAGTTGTGCCAGTGCCAAAAGGAGGAAATCGTAGTAGGGTGGAAAACTATAGGCCAGTGGCTATTTTGTCATCTCCTGCAAAGGTTATGGAAACGGCTCTCCAAAGGTCCATTTACAGCCAAATCTCGCCTTACCTGGCAGATGCTCAACATGGGTTTCGACCAACTAGAAGCACTACAAGCAACCTCTTAAGCTATATGTCAGATATTATTCCGGTAGTAGATAGTGGTGGGCAAGTGGATGCTGCGTATTTGGATTTTAAAAAGGCATTTGACATGGTAGATAATGATATACTTTTAAAAAAATTTGCTGAAGTAGGTTTTACTACTCACTTACTGAAACTTATGACAAGTCTGTTGACTGATAGGAAACAGTACGTTGAGTATGGCGGATGTAAATCAAAAGAGTATTTTACCAGGAGTGGTGTTACGCAGGGAAGCAATATGGGACCGTTGCAGTTTCTATTGATGGTTAATGATTTATCAGGAGTTATGAAAAATGCGAAATGCCTTATTTTTGCTGATGACGTTAAACTATCGCTGAGCATTGAAAACATGGAGGATTGTACTAGCCTACAGAAGGATGATAGAGTGGTAGCTGGAGCGAAAGAAATAGGCTTCAATTAAACACTTCCAAGGGTGCAATTATTTCCTTCACTCGAGCGCGCTCGCCAATATTGCACTGTTATAATGTAGGTGGGCTACCTCTAAAAAGGGTTACAGAGATCAAGGATCTTGGACTCCACCTAAAATCAGACTTATCATTTCGAGATCATATCAAAAATATTTGCAATAAGGCGTTTAGGACTTTAGGATTTGTATTAAGAATGGCACCTGGATTTAAAAACATAAAGGTGATTATGTCGCTATACAATGCTCTGGTTCGGAGTCACCTGGAATGCTGTGCATATCTGAGCCCACACGAAGCAAAGTTAGCTTAATGTTAGAGCGAGTGCAAAATAAATTTACTCGATACATATACATGAGACGGTACGGAGTATACCCTTTTTATCCCCTTATGTACCCGAGCTTATTTGTACTAGGGATGCTAGGTTATTCTCAGTTAAGGGTTAGACGCGAGTTGGCGCTTGCCACATATTTATTTAAGGTGCTTCGGGGCAAGCTACAGCACCCTGAAATACTACAAAGGCTGTGTCTCAGCGTCCCGGGGGGTAATATGCGACGAAGGAAAGCATTACTGCTAGCACTCCCGCACGCGCACACGAATCTGTTAAAGTATGCACCAGTGATAAGAGCTATACATATTGAACGAGGTCGCAATAAAAACGGATTTATTTTGTTGCACGTTGGCTGAATTCACAAGGTTAGCATCATGGATAATCGCATTTGAAAGTCGATAGGTAAATACTGTGATTGTAATCTACAGAGTTACTTTTAAATGTCTCATCTTAGTCTTAGTCATTTTCATTGTATTAGTATGTTATAAGCTGTAAAGATGGAAATGTAAATTAAATTAAATAAATAAATAAATTTGTTCCCACGTCAGCGTGTAATTTCAGAACAGCAAAGATGGGATTTTTGGCTACATCAAAAGCAGGTATTTTCCATGCGGGCTTTGCTTACGAGCTATGTGTATGCTTTGAAATGGTCTACGGGACATACGACGTGTATGTTCCGTACACATGATAGGACTAGGAGGTGAAATGAATTGGATTTATTACCAATACTAATTTCCTTTTAATATACAAAATTTATTCCTATAGGAGAATTGTCAAATATATTGCTTAGGTTTAACACGAGATCCTAAACAACAATGATTTCAACCGGGTAGGGCACAAAAGGGTAAATAAAAGAGATTCGTGAAACGGACACAGAAATTCTTCCGTCTTATGCTCCAGGCGGTGAAACGGGATTTTTCTTAACACTCATAATTATTATAAAATGTAAGAATAAAGATGATTAAAAGACAGAAATACCTACAGGCTTCTAGTTACTATTTTCACCTTTTTAATACTTAGATATAAGTTCAACATTATTTCAATTAAATTTTAAATCAGTGAGAAAAAGATTTTAGATTAAACGCCATCAAACCACTTGAACGATTGTGGAATGTTTTCGACTCTGAGAAATAATAACATGGATTAAAAAGGTCGGGCTGTCAAGATTTGATCCCATCTCCGACACCTTTTAAAAATTGACGAGCGAAAAAATAAACTTAATGGTGTTATTATTTCTTCGTAAAATTAAATCCCAATTGTATGAATCGTTACTGACAGAACATGACGTTTTGGCAGCCACGAATTATTCGAATTACATCGAAATCTAAAAGAACATTGAAGTTGCAATGAAAAGTAATTATTATAATATTATAGATTAGTCATCAATTAACAAGGTTATATTATATATACCATTTTAGTATTATCAGATTCGATCTTGATGATAATAAAGTAAGTATTTTTGGAATACACTAACTCAACCGCATGGTTACGCTAGGGACTTGTTGGCAATATTTTAATTACTGTTACTTAATATAATGCTCTATTGGTAACTATGGCAAGAAGTGCATAAACCACTAAACCTACAAGAATTATAAAAGAAACATTATACAGCACAAATTCAACGACAATTTCAAACGATCGGATAAAAGAGTTTTAAAAGATGATAACAGAAAAAAATGTGTTTAATTTTAATGGAAGTTTTTCAGTTAGTTAATTTATACATAAAAATATAATACAAAGAAAAAACACCTTGTATCATTTAATGGAAGGTGTAAGGTTTTTACACATTTATTATATTCATCCAAATAAATGCATAAAATATATAAAATATAAACCCTTGGATAGAATAAGTATTAAATTTATAATACTCCTCTTCAAAACTTTCCCGATGTTGTCAACGAAATTATATTTGAAATGGAATGCAGAGTATCGTTTAAAGGGAAAACTGAGTTTTCTTGGAAACGAGAGCTGTTAGGAATAGCATTACTCGGTCTTCAACCAAACACTATGGTATGTGATAAATGAAAATGATTTTCCATTCGTGCAATGTTTTGAGGTGATCTAAATGAAAATTATCCAGCTTTACAGGAATTTTATTGGGTCAGTATTTCATTCGATACTACAAGGAATGTATCTCATACTAATATTATAAAGCTGGGGTGTACTTCCGAAAAGCGCATACCGCCGATCGATCTGAAATTTGGTATACTTATGTATTTTGACCTCCTAATCACGAATATCATATTTCCAACGAAAATTGGCGCAAACGCCATTTTGAATATGAAAATCGAAAAAAACCTCTTTTCGTTCAGTGTGCCTAATCAAAAAATTTTCACGAAATGGAATGTTTTACTTACAGTGGAAAATATTCCCAGTGTCGATCAGACTAGAACAAAAAACCACACATAACATACCACTACATAAGTATACCAAATTTCAGATCGATCGGCGGTATGCGCTTTTCGGAAGTTTATCCGTGAGAGTATTTATAGAGGAAGGCTTTAGGCTAAAATGCATCGACTACTGCGACCAATAGGAGCGAAGAAACAGAGGGAAACTTGTAAAAATGTGAAAATGCCTCATCTCTCAGGCCTTCCGTTCAAATTAAGTCAAGTCAGGGTCCAAATAAATAATAACTAAAATAGTTGAATGAAAGAGTCTCTTTTTTTAATAATTTAAAATAATGTCTGCGAGTAGTATATCTCTATCTTTTAAGATTGACTCGCAAGAACAAGGGTCGCGAACGACGTCACGAGTAAGAGGTTTGTAAAGATGAAGAAGGGGTTTGCGGAAGAAATTTTGACGGCCAAAATTACTATTCTACCTGAACGGAGTCGCTGACACAGCTACTTGTATTACAATTCTGAAGTGTAGTAATTGTAAATTAATTTTTATGATATATAGTAGTTATACACGATATAATAGATATTGAATACCAAGTTGTATTTACAGGAAAACGAAGCTCGGGAGTCCGAGAAGAAGCAGTATTGTCTTCGTAATCAAGAATTTAGCCACGTTGTGAGATCTACCCATATTGACAAAAGCATCGAAGCGAAAAGAAAGGTACATTTACATCTATTTTCAGGTCAGACAGAAGTTCTGGCTCCACTAGATGAAATGTTCTTAGTCGTACATTTCAATAAAATGCGTTGTTGGCCGATTTTTAAAACGCAAGATATATAAGTTAACTTATTAATGATTTATTTTTATTATGTTTTGCGTTTTAAACCTCAAGTGTTTTACTTAAATAGATATATATATAAAATTGAGTAATACGACAAAACAGAACACCTAATCAACGCGTCCTTATAGAAATAATAGGATTTGTAAAACGCTAAATTGGCCAAGAGAGGATTTCGCTGGAAAATTGAACATCTTGAGAGTACATTTCCGGTTTTAGTCGCTTGTATCGAGTAATCAATTGCATTACGTTTCCTTTGAGGCAAAGTATCTTAAAATAACTAAAGTTTTGATAGTAGATATTAGAAACTCAGTCTCTCAAAGTTATACGAACATAGATAACGTTACCTAGTAAATAATTTCTGCCTCGATCCGAAGACCGGTAAAGTTCAATGCTTAAGAACTTTTTGAAGAATTGCCTTACATAGCGCAAAAGAGTCTAATTAACTACTACCCTGTACATAAAAAAGATTTTAATTTAGTTTAACTAAGCATAACGTTTAAACAAAACAATTCTGACGGTTTAAAACGCGACACATATGACTTAAACATTGCCCGATTTTTTGGAGGAACCACGACTGCTGCAAAAATCGCAAACGTCGGGCCCTCGTTAAAATTAATTGTAAATAAGTTACCTTATTCATATCGCGATTGAACCATTAATAGAACATTATTTAAATGTGTACTTATCCCGTTAACTACATAATGTTAACGGTTTAGAACGCGATCCAAAACCCAAACGATTATTATAATAGTTAATTTAAGTACATTAAAATATGCTGTTAACCTATTAAGTTGACTTTTAAGAGTAACAATACGGAACGCTGTGAATGCCGGTTCAAGTCCCGGCCGTGTATTTTTTTAAAGAATAGAATTTTTTTTAAGTATGACATATTAAATTAATTTTATAATATTTTTTATAGTTCATTGTCATATGTCTCAAGGTCAGAATCCATCACCTTTTAAAGTGTATTTAAGTTAAATATTTAAATACAACTCTTTTAAAAGTTGAAAACGCAAATGGGTTGTAATTAAGCTTATATACACACACATAAATCATTAAAAGTTATTTATTTGAATGTGTACTACTCGTGTAAACTACAGACCGTATAGTTAGTTATAGTTTTAAGTATATGTAAATGTTTAAATAAAACACTTTAACGGTTTAAAACGCGATATATTTCATTTGAAAATGATTTTAAAAATCATATTCAAATAAGTTTAACTAATATATCGCGTTTTAAACCGTTAAAGTGTTTTATTTAAATGTGTACTACTCGCGTAAACTATATACAGTATTTATATGTAAATGCTAAGAATTAAACATATTATTTCTTTTACAGGTCATCCGGATGCTTTTCGTGATAATCCTAGAGTTCTTTGTGTGTTGGACACCACTCCATGCGATCAATACGGTAAAATATGAATCACTTTATCAATAAAACAACCGACCTCTTACATGTTAGACGTACTTGTCTTTCCCTCGGGCTTTAGGATTTTCCTGAGATTATGCTATATTTCAAGCTATATTTTCAAGCTGGATAAAGTCTTCATTAAGAAAATGTGACCATATATCTTCTAGTGTTCCTTTCATCCGATTCTCACACAGGTACGGCTATGTGTGCATTCTTTGTAGCTTCCGCGAGTAGGACACATTCAAAACCACTTTTAACGTCTCAAAACGAAAAATATATTTTATTCTTTAATATCTATATTTAAATTTAAATAAAACACTTTAACGGTTTAAAACGCGATATATTACTTAAACTTATTTGAAAATGATTTTTAACTTCGGCCCGACGTTTCGTGTACTACTCGCGTAAACTATAGACAGTATTTAATATCTATATTTCCAGACGAAACCGGGGACTGCTGCTAAAATAAATTTTAAATAAGTTAACTAATATATTTTGAGTTTTAGACCGTTACATTTATTTTTAATTTCATATTATTGCTAAAATGGGACCCAATTGAGCTTTTTTATATATTTCGAACCGTGACAATAAGGCAGTTGACCGTGCATAGTCACAGACGTGCCTTTGAAAGATTGTCTTTTGATAAAATTCCAGGCGTACTTACTAAAAAAAAATAACTTGAAGCTATCCGACTTTTAACTTAAAAGTAACTCATACATACGCAAGTTACACGCGCCGGTCTCGCTAAGTATAACTCATAAACCAGGGCGTAATAGACTTAATAAAAGACGAGATTAGTACGAAAAATGTCTTCAAATATTTTTCCTTAGGATTACTTACGTATGAAGTATTAAATGAAATTATTTAGAGGAAAGAATTTTTAATATTATATATACGAGCATAATAAAATCCCAATTCCTCCGTGGGACATGGGGCAAAATCAGTCCATGTGCATTTTACTACATAAATTGAAAAAATCGCAACTCGGGCAGAACTTGAACCGGCATTCACAGCGTTCCGTGTTGTTGCCCTAACCAATTAGCTACCATTTGTACACGTCATCGTCGATTTTTTTCAACCCCATCATAAATGCACCTCTCGCGCAATATAATTCGACCTTAACACTTGCGTATGCGACACAAACAGGACGGAACGTTGTGGATGCCGGTTCAGCCTTGGTCGAGTCGTAATTTTTTATTTATATAGTGTCATCATGAGAAAAATATTAAAGTTAATCGCAAAAAAAACTTATGTATAAGTAATGTCTAACTTCTGCACCATGACGGACGAAAAAATGTTGCTTTCTAGGATTCAATCCTTGGACTCTCGTGCTAAATACAACACTTAGGCAACATGTTTAGCCATTAAGCTACGTGGGCGGTTGATAAGAAATACCCTACAGTCAACGTTTTATGTAGTTAAGACTCTTAAAAATTACGAGCACTGTGCCACATCTAGGAGTTATTTACTAAGTGTGAAAAGTTATACGCGTAGTAACCATAATACTGCCTCTAATTTATTTAATGCATATATACCCGTATGTAAAAGATGTTTTTACTTTTCTGTATTTTATTTACAAATAATTATAGAAAAGATCCCGAAAACTAGTATTTAATCAGTGTTAGTATCTAAATTCCGTCAGGTCATGAACCAACGTCCACAGGTAAAAAGTGATTGTGTTTCGATTTTAGTCTGTGGATTTCCGAATGCCCAAAGCCAATTTAGATCGACAGCGCATCTTGTTGCGATGATATATGGCTAAGATATCCTCCATCAAATAACCTTCGCTTTCTTTATTAAGAATTAGGCTGAATTCAAACCATGGACAACAATTGAGTAATTTCGACGCAATGTTTACTTCGTGTATTATTTATACCTGAAACTGCAAGGTGGAGCCTTGTATATCGTAAATTGTGAGTTTGAGTCTCATCTGTTTTATATTAGAAATCTATTTAGATTGAAAAACTAGACAATATAGGTGCGAATTACAACCGCAACATTCACACAATTGCTGCTCTAACCAGTTCCATAGCTGCGTCATTTTATCGTTTTATTTGTTTCAGATATATCTTTTCTATCCTGAAGAACTCTACAGATACGTCGGATCGAAAGGCATAATCTCGCTTCAATTGCTCGCATACTGTTCGTCGTGTTGCAATCCTATTACCTACTGCTTCATGAACCGAAAGTTTAGACACGCCTTCATCACCCTTTTTAAGACTTGCAAGCTCGTCAGGTAACTTTACGATTTTGATTTTAGAATTTTAGTAACAGCTTTTCAAATTGGTATATCGCCTATGGGTATGATTTTATTAGCAGGCACGTAGACAAGTTTTACCTTGTTACTTCATTGAGACGCTTACTTTTATCTTATTTTTCACCAATTCACAATCATATTGAAGTAATCAATATAATTCCGTTTGCATAATTCTTTTCGTTACATAGTTGTTAGAAATATCGAAATTCCAACCAAGTCCGTAACATAAAAATGCAAGTGTAAATTCGCGTTTCAGTGTCGATCGGAGAATTTCTGTTCAATCAATGTTTAAAGTCAAAAAAAAATATTAGTACAAATTGTTCAAAGGTTAATGTATCGTTAGGATATATCAAGTAAATTTAAATTTAAGACTTTATGAGTTTTTGGATAAGATAATCGTCATTTATTTACATATACTTTTAATGACTATTACTTTATGAAATACACCTATACAAAATTCGAGATACATTTTATTGAGAAAAATCACTGGTTATTTAAATAAGCACAAAATCACGAATTCGTGTCTACGAATATCACTCGTAGCTTACACATCGCTACGAAGATAGCGGAGTACGGCTACGGCGTAGACGTGCTACAAAATTGACCGTATTAATTCCATTTCGAATTTCGAAAAAATATTTGTTTTAGATAAATTTGAAGAAAATTATTTTTTTTATTTACTTCAGTTGACACAAAACAAGATTACATCCGTACTTTTCTACCATTTCAGCTTCAGTAGTAAACCAGGTAGGGATTTTAAGCATTAGTGGGTCGACACAGTAAAGTTTTTTATCAGGGAGAGCCCAGAAGTTTGTTCACTAACTTAAACACACGTAACGTTTCTACCCAACCCTACGCAGGCGAAACGAGATTTCATGTTTTCATTTTATACCATGCTACTACGTTTTCAATAACCAAAAACCCTCGACCAAAACAAAAAATACGAGTTTATTTCAAGATATAAGGCGTCAATAATACTAAATTACGTGACACAACAAACAGTATAATCATTTTCTCATTAAATAATTTCAAGCATACGCGGCTTGGCTTGTATAAGACAACAGGCGTTCTAATGTATCTAATCTAATCAACGAGAATCGCTACACGAATTATATATGATCAAATTAATTTAGAATTTTCACCAAAACCACATCATGAGGTTCTTGATATAAACCTTTTTTATTTAGTTATTTTATTATTTATATTTTTATTTGATATTTCTTTTTTTTAAACGAATACCGATTTAATTAATTGACACACTTGACCTGTTCCTTGAGCCCGAACTTTTCTCATTCTTAATTGTAACTCATCATTTATTGGAAGTTTCTTGTGTCGCGATACCCAATTATTGTTCATGAAACTTAAAAAAGATTTATTACAAAAGTTTCTGTAACTCGCAAAGAGTATTGCGTAAAACAACTTACTAATTTAATTATGTAATGAGGAAAATTCTGTGTATACTTTACGTAAGTATTAAAATTTTAATAAAACCCTCATAACGATTTAAAACGCAAAATTTATTTTTTATACTTATTAAGGAAACACGAAACGACAGGCCGTCGTTTTAAACTGTCAAAGCGTTTTATTAAAATATGTATATAATACAAATTATAGTGGAGTGGTCTGTTGTATTACCGTTGCAAGCTGTATATTGATGCATTAGTTGATAATTCAGGGCAAAGGATTTATTTGTATAAGCTATTGTGTAATTAATTAAAGTATAATTGTACGCATCGCTTCCTTTGTTTATTATGTAATCAAAATTTCGACAAAATTTTCTCCTTTGATAGCATAATTTTCCTGTAATACTAACATGCAATTTAAATTTATAATTAAACTAAATTAAGCTCGTAGTTAGTCCTAGTAACCTTTATCGTTATACCTTACTTTAGGAGGCAAAGTATCTTCCTAAAGCATTTAAAAGATAAAAATCTAATACAGCTAACCTTTCGAATCGCATAAAAGATTGTAGGTGATTATGACGTAATCAGTAATCGCCAGAGACAATTTTAATTAAAAATGTCAAAGCGAAGTAGTTAATCTTGTGATGAAAACCTTTTATGAAAGTATTTAATAAGAAATTCAAATGAATGCGAACTTCTAAAGCTTCCGGTATGGTTTTAACGTCGGAACGATGTGTTAAGTAGGCAGCAAAAAAAGATTGATGTTTTCAATCCTGTAAAAGCCTGCGTGTTAAAAAAAACAAAACAAGATTTAATTACACTATCTTGATACGTACTTACGTACGTTGAGGTTTAATTTACCTTGGTGTAAGAATCTATGGATTGAAAAAGTTCGACGATAACGTGTAGGATACAGTAGATCAAGTAGTTAGAGCAAGAGCACAGAACGCTGTAGACGCCGGTTCAAGTGCTGCCCGCGTCGTGAATTTCAAAATCGATGGATTTCTAATTTAGAGAAAACCGCTTAAATTTTAAACATCAAAATGAGTAATATCTTATCTACAATCAACGAGGACGTAAATAGAGATGACGTCACTAGTCTATTCTGTATTAACTGCGTTAAATATTCGTTTGTTCTTTCCTTTCCTAATTTAATAACTTTCATAAGAGTGTCTAGCTATCTACATTAATAAATCACTTTTGAAATTTATTTGATAAAGGCACTATTTAAATACTCGATTAATCGATATGAACACGAACATTAAGAAAAAGAGCATATGGGTTATATACTCTTTCTTTTTGTTTCGTAATGTTTTCTCTTTATCTCAGAAGTTTCGACAACATCTAGATACTATTTAAAACCCATTAGGGATAAAAATGTATTATATACTAGTATTTCAGGTGGTGCTTCCCTGAAAAATCGGAAGGGAAACAGGTGACTCCGCCGCCGTCCAGTCAAGATGTTACTGCGTGTGTCGTAAGAGGTAGCCACACGGGACGCACAGGTAATATTTTTACTTATATCTTAATTAATAAGTAATTTAAAAAGGGAAAATTTATGGAAATTTTGAAGATTCGAACCAATACTACATTTTTACAAAAGCATATTGCAGTCTCATGCACATTTTTGCAATTTGACTTGATTTATTGGAACTGAAATCTGTCAATTGACTAGACATCCGATAAAATCGTTGAGATTTTTGATAAGAAACATACGCGGACATAGTCCATACTGAAAATAAAATTCGATTTTCATTCATTGGATTTTCAGTCATTAGGGTTTCATGTTGATCTTTCACGCTGTAACGGCATAAAAGTAATTTTGAATGAGAGTTTTTTTTTATATATAATATATAAGCATGCTTCTGAATTTATATCTTTATAAATAAACTTCGTCAGTATTCAAATAAAATTGAATTAGTTTGGTATTATATCAAATGTAAAAAAGACTTCTTCCTTTCTACGCTATTATACACCCTTTAGACCTGGACGGACAAGAAGGCGAGGATTGTGTTTAGCAGCGGCTCACAAACCACCACAGTAGGAAGCGTTCGAACCGTTCAACCAGTCGGCGCAAGCGCACGGCCCGTTACACAGGTAAATATTACTTTTGAAAATTTTAATATTTTTCACTTGTTTTCACATGATGGCATTATATAGATAAAACGCAAATATAAACTGAAAATTATTACGACTCGGGCAGGATCCTCAGCTTTCCAGTGCTATTACTCTAAGCAATTAGGCTACCGATTTAATATTACTTATAAAATATAATTCTTTATTAGCTAAAGAAGACGATAAATGCATGGGCTACTTACTATTTTCATATTAAGCAAGTTCTATATAAATTTTTATTGTCCCTAAGTCATCCTCAATATAATTTTCTTACCAAAAACCATAAATCCGAGAATTGAAATCTTGCACGCGAACGGTCTTTGAGCGTTGTTCCTTGAACAATCGTTTCAAATAAATAACTTCCGCGTTCTTAGCGATGGCATTATAATTGAATTAAGTACGATATAACGAAGAGGTCCCGAAGGAGAGTCTGACCATCCCGAAATAACAATACGATTTGTACTCCGATTCTGCGAAAAGAGGAAATGAAATTGTAATATTGTCTCGGTGAATTCTTTCCGTTGATTCGATTCCTAATGCCGATGAGTTTTTAAAAGGAATTGTAATGAAGTGTACGAGAATATAGGTTATATTTATTATTTCCTTACAGACTTGAAAATGTCCCTATTGTAAGTTATATTTAAGCAGAACGTATGGTTATTTTTAAAACGTTTCAATACTGGCTTGATAAATATATCACTGCCATATGACAATACTGATGTTTCCATATAACCCTGACCTTTAAATGAAAGTCACAAATACTCAGTCTATCAATCAATAAGGCTTTCTCTATAAACGTGAAGTAAGGATACCATTCATTAAACGAACACGCGCGTACATCGTGTCTTATATTTATCAGTTTATCACAATATTAAGTAACCAGCCGTGTCAGCGACTTAGTCGGCGTCCAAATTTGTTTTTGCAAACCTCCTCTTTAACTTTATAAACTTAAGCTGTTACCCACGACGTCGGTGGCGTCCTTTTCCGTCGTTTTTCAAGTTCATCTTAAAAGATAGACATGTCACGGATATTTTTTAGATTATTTAAAGAGAAATCATTCTTTGTTATATATTTTTTGAGTATTTTGAACCGTTTTTGTAGCGTAAACTCTCGAAAATGAAAAATTTTCTTCCAAACAAACAAACAAACACACTTAGCAGCTTTAAAACACTACTTAAGATTCTGTAAGCAGAATCTATAAACAATATTTCGCTATCGATTATTGGATCATCGTTCCGAGCAGTTGCATGGACCGCTGTGGATTCCGGTTCAATTTCCGCCCCTGTCGTAATTTTTTCTTTCAATCTCAATAATATTTTTAAAGTTTTTAAACATGATTAATTTTATTAATAGCTAAAGCACTTTTATAAAATAGGAATAATTATTATTGTTAGCGTTACACGTTGCTCCAAAGTATTTAAGATATCAATTCAATATCAATAAATATTCAGTGTGACTTAAACTACTGCAGCTGTCATTTTAAAGACGGCGGGATCAGTTTACTAAAACGTTTTCTTTTCAGGTTATCGAGACAGGAGAGGAAGGGAGTCAATTCCTCTATCGCATAACCTGGCCAAGAACGCAACCGAAGCAGCAGGGGTCCTCTCAGCCGCTTTATGAATGAATCCGTGGACTGTGGTGTGATAGACAAGTGTGAGTGGTAACAGTGACAGATAAGGTTTTATCAACGAGCTTCAATGTGGTACATTTATACATTTGAATATCAGATTGGAAAGAAGTTTCCACGAAAAATTCAAATTTCTGCTCTAAAAACATACAATGAATTAGATAACATTATTAAACAGCGTGACGGTTATTATTAAATAAATGTGTTTTTAATACAAGAGTAATGATATAGTTGTGTCGCCTAGCATTGCGAAATACGCGAGAGGTTGTATTTAATTTACTGTTTCCCCTAGTTCGAATCCCGGGGAAACAGTAAATTGTTTCAGTCGGGCAGGACACAGTAGTCTGATCAACTACTTGCCTGTAAATAAAACTGATCAGCGAAACGGACACAGAAATGTGTTCGCCCCATGCCCCACGAGGGGAAACGAGATTTCACACAATGATGTAGTACGTCACACAATGATGTACGTCCATGCTAATATATACCACTAATGTATCTTTATATTTGTGTTATTATTTTGTTTGTCAAAAATAGACGAGCTTTAGTTTTTTCATTTTCATCGTGTAAACATTTCACATACTGAATTTTAAACGCTCGCATAGCGTATCCCTCCACCGGATTGTAATCAAAGGTTTCCTTAATATCAAACTAAAGATTTTTTGCTACTACTTTACTACTACTAAAATATACATAAATATACTCTACTTAACTCGTTCTCTATACGCGTATTTTACAATTAATTTAGTACTTTTATGTGATTGTGGATGACACAAAGAGATTGATTTAAGGCTGTATTAGACATACATATGCACGAATACAACCCTTGTACAATGTTCTTATACCAAAGAGTTTTTTATACTACTCCAAGTGGTACTTATGTATTCTACCCCGTACCTATACATATTGTAGATGTCTTATTTATAAGTGAATGTGTACCTAACTGAATTTATTTATTGATTTAATCAATAAAATTACAATGTCATGACAGGTGGGAACCCAATTCAACACTGAACTTAAAAACTAACACAGTATACAATACAATTTAAACTCTTCAAAGCTAAATATGTTCAAGATATTGGGATTTTTTCACATTTAGTTATTTAAGCAGAGTATTTTTAAAGGCTAGATAAGAATTATGGCAAATTACGAAAAAAATGTACATAATACTGTCGACGTAAAAAACAAGTTGTGTTTTATTAATATTCTACTAATTTGAAAAGGAATACATACGTCGACAGAGAACCTTTCTATCTTCATGTTTGATAACTTTTCCTAAATAAATTCTACCAATATACTCTTAAAATAATAGAGTCTCTCTCTCAAACGCAGTCATATCAAAACTTGATAATTGAAAATGTTAATGTCTGTAAAATAATAAGTTAAGCGTAAGATTATTTTTAAGCAAAAGCGTCCTGTGAAATAACTAATTGTTTTAAATGTATGAACAAAGTGTATATAAGTGTATGCCGAAGAAAATAGCGTAAAATTGCAACAATAAAATAGGTGTAAGTACTAAATTTAATAAAATGTTAATGATCTTGTCATCAACTCATTGTACTGTGTATATAATAATAACAAGTAATTTATTTATACAATTATTTTGATTTTTATTGATGTGACAGAAATAAAAGTTGATCATGAATATCTTTTATTTTACGTTCTATTAACCTAGTTATAACAGTATCGTTAAAAGATAAAATTACCGATGGCTAATGGCGCACATTCAAATATAACTCATTTACTATTTATTTTACCCCCCATGACCACAGCTGATGGACAGTCCAATACGGACCTTAACTTAAAATAAATTAATAAGTTAAATTAAACATTTCGCGTTTTAAAACTGTTTTATTTAAATATGTAATAATCTCGTAATGTAATGAAACTACAAACAACACTTGTAGGTGATTGTGCTCAATTTTGGAATATATTGTTTTTTCGTGGGATAACCAGTTTTTCTGAATGTCTTCTTTCTCGTACGTTTTTCATTGTCTTGATATGTCATTAAAGTTGTACAGATCACAAAAACTATAATACTTACTCAAGAATAGTCTCCCATGGTACAATTTCATGTCGCCGGAAAACCTTTGTTCAAGCAAATCCTCATATGGAATTGCAATAAAATGATTTAAATTTATGCCCGCCCTTTATTTCGTTCAATACTGAATAGGATTGCAACTGCGTTTTGCAAGCGATTAAATGTGTTCTACCAAATGAAACTGGATTTAGTGAATTTGGAATTGATGTATCATGTTCAGTAATTTATTTATAATTTGTTGCAGAGTTGCGACGAAAGGTACAAAGTTGGATTCGAGCCCTGTAACTTAAACTAGGATGTTTATAAACATTTACGCTACTAGTTAGGGCGACTTTGATGATAATAATCCCAAAAAATACGTTGCCGTGGTCTTGCTAAGGACGTTAGAAAATTGTTGGACTAATATTTTTTCAATATTCATTCGTGATTTAAACTGGACTTGCAGTGTTTATATATTGACTAACTAGATATATGTGAGACATTGCAATTACGACTCGTTGCAAGAATTAAGATTTAAAAATAAATAATCAAACGTCTAAACAAAACATGACGGAATGGGAATGGGAAACGGAATGGGGAAATGGGTGAAATGGTCAGCGGACAACGTGGACTGATCACCCGTCCTGCCAAGGGTGTCCCCGATAGAAAATAATAATAATAATAAACAAAACATTATCATGTTGATAAAAAACTTCAAATGGTTAAAACATAATACGGTACAAGTTTAATTTTACAACCATGCTGGGCCTGATGGAACTCGAACCCACGCCGTTTTAGATGTTTGAGAATGCTGATAGGAAAGATGAAATGAGATCTTCCTTAATAGCATACTGTTTTTGAGGAATGGTTTCCGTGACACGTGCAGATGTAATTGGCACAAGGAAATTAAAAATGTATTGATGATAGACGCAAATAATTAATTGACAGTTGCAGCCGATGCATTGACAGAATATCTTAGGTGATGGCACAGGAAGGACTAAGAATATTTACTAAAGAAATTCCTTAGTTCTCTACTTTCCTTTAAGTTTCCTGCATTATAAAAATTAATAACTACTCATATCAATTGTCGTAGATGAGATATCTAAGATTTTGTGCGCTAATATTATCTCATCAAAATTAATGAAGCCGTCGCAAAATTTCCTCTCTCAATATTCAATAAGTTAATTAACTTTGTCACCAACTGTGTTGTATTCTCTAGTTGCCTATTGCAAATCGTCCTATCATTTAATATCTTCAAAGAGATTCAGAACGCTGATTTATCTTTTGTGTAGGGTGACTATGCATTCGGAAACTTACGAGAAAAACATATTTTTTTTGACTCAACCACTGTTTGTTCAAAGTACTTGGTTAAAAACTATTTGTAAATACGTGAAAATATAAAAAAATTATCTTGTTCTGAGCGAACGTCGTACAAAAATTTAAACAAACATTTTAATAGTTTTATAATCAATTTCTAATAAATATGTACATACAAACATCAATATTGTTGTAATATCATTAGGTTGTTGGAAATCACCAGAGAAGCTCAAGTACACGCCACACTGAAGGCTATATAAACAAGTCTCAAGCAACGGCTCGTTCACTTTTTTCGCCGCTCGTTGTAAGGAAACGGACGTGCTGCCCGGTCGATAGAAATTTGTTCAATTTAAATTTGTTTAATTATTGTGTTGTACTGTTTTTTTTAGTAAATCCGCTTCTGATTCCTAAAAATGTATAATGTTTTTTATTTAAGAGGATGGCAGTGAGTATGGCTTGAAGGATAATAAAAAAAAACACAATCATGCATCCGATTCATGCTCATGCAACATACCAGTTTATTATATTCGGAAATCCATAGACTGTAAGAAAACAAGGGGTTGCTTGCTTCTGTAGCCAAATAGTTAAACGGGTTCGAATCCCAGGGAAAAAAAATGTTTCGGTCGGGCAGGACACAGAAGTCTGATCAACTACTCGCCCGTTAAGAGAACGGATAAGTGAAACGGACGCAGAAATGTTTTCGCTCCATGCCCCACGAGGGGAAAACGGGCTTTCATATTTATTTATTTCATTTACACTTTAGTAGTAAATTTTAGAGTAAAGTCAGTTTTAAAAGTAACATTTTAAGATACATATAAAGTAAGACACTTTTAGGAAAATTCTTTATCGATATTATTAAATATCTCAACAATATTTGCCTTAGTGTAGTAGGTAGTAAAATAAAACCTCACTCATTATTATTTACCCGACTCGAACGCACCAATCTCTCGAAACATCGTTAAAAAAACGTCAAACCAGATCTTCAACGAAGGTCAAAACGTGGTTACTTAGCGAACTCATTCGCATATCGTTGGATCGACTTAAAGATAGTGCCTCCACAGATGTAGCAACTAGTGTTTTAGTGTTGTGTGTGTTGAAAATATAGTTTGTGTACTCATGACGTGTCGAGAGATTCATATAATGGAAAATAAGTGAGTAGTCTTAAGAATTATGAACTTAAAAAGTTAAAACTTAGGATTGTTTAATAGATTTTGTCTATATAATTTTAAATACTTATTTAAAACTAAACAAAATCAAAAAACTGGCTTCCAATCATATAAATATAAAATTTAAGTGTATCCATTCAATTGAATCTATAACCTATTACTTTTACGTGACTATATATTTTTTCAAGCATAGGAAATCCTGCGTTTAAGCCCCCAGAACACGAACACGAATACTTTTACGTATATTACAGAAGTCTTATAAAAATCAGTACGTTATAAAAATTTATATCAATGGTACTTTCACTTTGCAAAATTTGGGATAAAACTTCTTTATTTATCTTGTACTACGTAGGTCCCTACTCAGTGTTAGTATTATTATATTTAGGTTCTTTCGGTTATCTAATTCGTTAGTGTTTATGTATTACTTCTACTGGAGAACTCTTTAAGCTTGGCCATAAGTGTATAAATAAACCCGTTTAAGCATGATTTTCAATTATTATTATTTTACCATAATCGAACTGAATACATATTTATTTACTTTGTGAGTTGATAAAGAGCAACGGAAGTAATAGGAACAATGTGAAATATTCAAACTACGAAACCGTTTTTAAGATTAAAAACGACCCACTAAGGTTAAATACGGTTAAATGTCTAGTAATTTTTAATATAGTTATGGGCAATAGACCAGACTTGTGTACGACTGAAACAAATCATCATGTTAGCCCTGAATTTGAAACAAGGTATTATTAAGAGATATTAATTTAACGTTATTATAACTTAAGTGTATGTATGCCTGTGTTTCAATTTATATTATAGACAAAATATTCGTGTAATTCCATTTCTCACTATGGCACATGGACCGAACAACAATCTACACCCTTTAAAATGATCGCTTTTATTCGCAGGCTAGTAGTGAACACCCTGTGTCCTGCCTGACCGATACTCTTTATTTTTATCCATTAAAAGTTCGCCGCATTTGTTCTTAGTTTTTTCCTTGCTTGTTAGTAAATATCTATTGAAGTAACAACATCTGTTGATTCTTTCTTTTTTTATCATTAGCATTGCTGTTCTTCATGAATAAAGAGCTAGATATCAAGTAAAAAAAGCAAACGCGGTTTTAGTTCACAAATAGTAATAGTAAATATTTGTACAATAGATTACAATCAGTAAAACAATCTCTTATATGATAGACATTGCAAAACAGTACATGCGCTACAATGACACCTCAATACATCTTATCTGTATTTGAACAAAGATATAGTATCACAGAAATTATTTTTAAACAACTAGCGTTATTCAATTCAACATAACGTGATTCACTACTTTGTTTCTTTAACATAATAACAAAATGTTCTGTGTTCAAATCTTAAAAAAAAAAAAACAATAACAATATACAACAAAGCTTTGCTGAGCAAAGTCTTCTTAAACGGGGGACTGAAATAAGCTTCATGTTTAAATATACATGTGTGTCCCCATAGCGCTTATAGCTTATAGATTAAGGAGTACCAAAACCTAATCTGCAGACGAACAAACAGATTTAATAAATCTTTCTCTCATCGAAACATTCCATACTCAAACTTTAAACTTCCTAGGCTTTTAAAGAAAAAAAAAATCCTAGGCTTAACGCAAGGTAGTTTTAACTAAGAAAAGTAGTCAATTGATAAGCTCTATTTGATGTTGTTTTTTACAGTCCACATGACAAATCGTGCATGGCGTCAACCGTGACCCTGGCGGTACGAAATAAGGAGGAAAATGACTATAATCCCTTTGAACACCGAAATGTGGCTCACCCTACATCGTAAGTAGCATCAATCAATTCATCAAGACCGTTCGTTATCAAGTGAGATGAATTTTGCAGAGTTGCAGAAATCTTAAAGGAACATAATAAGTCTCTTCGAATTGTACAAATAGTTCGTTGCGAATAACGTGACCTATGTATTGTCTGAATGTTTTTGAAATGTGTCATATAAGTTTTCAGAGTGTTGGGTAATATAGTGGTATCTTAGGCTAGGCTAAGGTGCTACTAATCTTATATAATTCTATTATGTAGATAGTTATAGTAGTGTGTAAATTTTAGGTCCTACCATATTTATGAGAATAAACCGCTATTTGTTTTGGCTTGCATGATAGGGATGTTGACTGTAATGAAAAATAAATATAATTTTAATGCAAATTTGTATCTACTATAGAATCGCAGTAATATTTCTTAATATTTAAAAAATAATTTAACCCAACGAAGGACATTTCCAGTGTAATTTTCAGCTGTTTCTTTGTACTACTTTCACATAGAAACTCACTCGGTAACATTTTTAAACCTTAGTTTATCTTAATTTATTTTTGTTAACTACACTAACAGTTTACTTTATCTTATGAAGCCGTGACGTAATTAGGTCGAAGAAAGGCGACGTTGCTATTAATTTAAAAACATAATGTGCCTTTTAAAGATTTGAAAAATATATTTTTTAATATTGGGCATTTTTTGAGGAACTCGTTGGTGTAATCAAAGGGTCGTCGTGGGTTCGATCCCCACCAGGGCCAACACGTTTCTCTTTCTCTTGGACTTCGTCTGGAAATCTGGTTATTAAATGAGTGGAAGGAATATCGAAATGCCGTCCGAATTACGAACAACCCACAGATAAAATAATCGTGAAGTTTTATTCAATTTCGGTTTCAGTCTGTGGACTTCGGAATATCCAACCCCATAATAGGGCGACAGCGCATCTTGTTTAGATGTTATGGGCTGGCGTATTTCATCTACCACCACGTGATTCCTATGTTCTCTGACAGCATCTATCATTAAAAAAATAATAATAAGGCACCAGCAGGACACATTTAAATAAAACACTTTAACGGTTTAAAACGCGATATATTAGTTAAACTTATTTGGAAATGATTTTTAACTTCGGCCCTCTCCCCGTGACCACGGCTGCTGCAAAGTATCTGAAACGTCGGGCCGAAGTTAAAAAAACATTTCCAAATAAGTTTAACTAATATATCGCGTTTTAAACCGTTAAAGTGTTTTATTTAGATTAGGCACCATTTAAAATTTAAAACATTTTTCTCAAAATCAAAATCCTTATTGTTGAGCAATTTTCGTTTTGCGTATTAATGTATGTTGTATGTCCATTCTTTAGACATTAGTATTGGCTTAAACGTCCTTAAAGAAATGAATGACAGAGCAAAAACACATCGTCGAAAGTGGAGCAGGTCGTAATGACTAGGCGATACGCAGAAGATTCTATACGCTTAGTGAATACTTCATCAATCTTTAGTACAAATCCTAGCAAACAAAATCATAGTGGATATTCAAAAATAATCACAACACTTACGAGTAGCTCTTAATCTTTACATCGAACGGAAGAGATAATCGAGAGTTTTGTATCGGTTTCGATTTGCAAAAAAATGCTAATTTTTTGAGCAAGTAAGAAACTAAAGGAAAATATAATGTAACTTAAAATACACATCGTTTCGCAAGTGAAACTTAAATTGTATTGTCCGCAGTGTTCACTAGTAGCACAAATTTAAATAAAACACTTTTGACGGTTTAAAATGCGAAATGTATTAGTTAAATACTGTCTGCAGTTTACGCGAGTAGTACACATTTAAATAAAACGCTTTAGCGTAACCACAGCTGTGTATATCGCGTTTTAAACCGTTAATGTGTTTTATTTAAATATATTAGTTAACTTATTTTTTATTTAATTTAACTACGGAAACATGGTCAAAGACCTGTGTAGGTCCAACACCGGGCTGTTAAATGTTAAATTATAAATAGGCCTAATATTTTTTTTCGTTTTAACCCACTAAATGTTGTATTTTACTTAAATTGGAAAAAGGAAGTTTAAAATAATCGTTAACATAGATAATTAAGGTTGGTATTATTTAAAAACGACTTCAAAGTACGTAACTTTTAAAATGACAAAGGCGCCTTCAACCATGAATTGAACTTGAACGAATCGCTGTAATTATAAAAATGAAATGGGTTTCTCAGTATCTTATTTTAAGACAAAACACAATTACCTTCTTAATTATATTATTAATCTAAGTCGTGAAACTTTATTTTAGTTGAGTCTTTTAATTTTTATATTCTAATGATCTAATTCTTTATAAAATCTTCATATTATTGTCAAATGTTACAAACGCGCTTTGATCTCTATAACTTCGTCTTGGTAGTAACATAGCAATACGTTAGTTAATACAGGCACTGATCCTGGCAAGAACAACTAATAATACTATATACGAGATACGATTAGATCTATAATTACAATAGATTTTTTAAAAATCGAAAATAAATTGAAAAGGACTCGGTAGCTCAATTGGTAGACCAACAGCACGGAACTCTGACAATGCCGGTTCATGTCCTGCCCGAGTCGAAATTATTTTCAATTTATTTTCGATTTTTAAATTATATAGTGCCTTCGTGTGCAATAACATGTCAAATATAATAAAGTTTCAAATATCATAGATATTTATAATTCTTCTGGAACATGTTGGACTTCATCTGAATATTTATGGGTGGTAGGAATATCTCAATTCCTACCGCACTGCTACAGATAAGCGACCGTGAAGTGTACTCGCATCTCGATTTAAGTTTGTGGATTTCCGAATATCAGAAGCCAAAATAGTTCGACGACGCAACGTGTTTAGAATTTATATGGGTGGGGTATTTCTCCTACCATTAAATGAACTCCGTGCTTGTCTGTTTTCTTCTATCATATATAAAAAAAGATAAAAGTCCTTTCAGTAATAATTTAATATTCGCAAAAACTAATAAACAGAGCTCTAAGATGTTCAGTAAATAGAAATAGAAAATTTCAGAGTCATTTATATTTTTAAGTACCACTGAAACGAAACGCAATAAGTTATATACACAATACTAAAAATAAAGGCTTATATATTTGGCACAACTAATGAAGCAGCGTGTATAACTTATTATGTATCTAAACATTAGTCTCGTCTGAAACCTTGAATATAAATTAGAGAGATTTATAAATGAGGTTATATTAATAATACTGTGCGTTAAACGCCTCTGCTAAGCTTAATAGTGTATTTTTGCTCTTGTGTCCACGATTGACACATTTTGACGAATTAAGTGATAAAAAACTATTTTTAGGAATGACATTTAGTTATTCCCAATAAATATTTTTTTACAGGACCGATAGGTTGACAATCTGGGTCTAATGATACGCTAGGATTGTAAACCCATTAATTTTTTTTTAACTACTACAATACTCAAGGGAGTTACTGAAATATGTGTAATTTTTTTATTTGTTTAGTTATAATTATTGTGATGATAAAATGTACATGTATTGATTGTATGCCACTATAGAATGGCTATGCCAAGTGTCCCAGAAATAAGAAAGTTAAAAACTGTAAATTACGTTTTGGCTTTGCATCGACATATAGAACAAAAGATTCTTAAAGATTTATAATACCATAAAGCTGCATTTAATAACATGAAAAGAAGTCAAGTTTTTTTGTAAAAATAAATTATGTGATTCTTATTTTAATTGTTATGTAAAATGTGATGGTTCATTCTACTCTCTTACGCTCGCCAACGTTTGTTACGCAAATACATTGTATACCCAATACATAGTCATCGGAGCATTGGTTCTAAGAAATGCTTCCTCGTGTTATTTTGCTTTGGAAACTGTGCACCAAGACAAATAGTTTTACTAAATTGAACTTCCGAGTTTCCTTACTAAAACTACGTGTATACCATAATATGTTCTCGCTAGAATTGTAGGTTGTTAATCAAATTAAAATTTAAAGCAATATATCATCCAAGCAACGCACATCGGCGACCGGCGACACGAGCAAAAATAAGCATAGCATACATAGCCTCGCGCGATCGTTTGCTTCAACCGGCGTGTTTGTGTCGCTGCCCTCCGTGACCAAGTATCAATCAATATTTGATTGGTTATATTGTATGTATAAGTACATCGAAGTACACGACAGGACAGTAGTTTGTATTAACAAGTTGAAAAAAAAAATTAGATGATGACGTGTAGGACACGGTAGCTCAATTGGTTAGAGCAACAGCCGGGAACGCTGTGGGTGCCGGTCCTGCCCGTGGCGTAAAATTTAAGGCTTATTTATTTTTGACTCCTATCTACATCTAGATGCGACAAAAAACACGGGTATATTAATTTAGTTTAGCACTATTTGTTTTACTAATCCAAACAATAGCGTCATAAAATTATTTTAATAGTTTATTTTCTTTCACTATTTTGCACTATGAGATAATGTTAGGTATAAACATATTTTATTTGTCGAAAAACCAAATCATACGAACGACGAACATATTGTTTTAGAATCATTGAAATTATATATAGATTTTTCAACTGTTGGTACACAAACGAGAGAAGATTGATTAATCTTTACTAATATATAAAGCTTTGAAGAGTTTGTTTGTTTGTTTGAACGCGAATCTCAGGAAATACCGCTTCGAATTGATTTTTTTTTGCATCTTGCTGAAATTGTTATGGTATATGGTCGGAGTATTTCACCTTCCATGTCCACCTTATATGTCTTCCCCTATCATAAAAAATGACTCAAAGGGTTAGGATTTAGAATAAAAATGCAATAGCGGCTTACAAAATGGAATTTAAGTCTGTCAATGTCATTGTTGTAATCTGTACTAATATTACAAAGCTGAAGAGTTTCTTCCTTTGTTTGTTTGAACACACTAATCTCAGGAACTCTTGGTACGAGTTGAATAATTATACCTATTGTTGTTGGTTAAAACATTTATCCAGGATTATTTAGACTATAAAACATCTCACATACACATTGCAAACGTTTGCCAGGTCAGCTAGTATAATAAACAGTCAAAGTTGTTTCATTTTAAATACCCTCTTTCATATCCATCACACGAACAAGAAACAATTAAATTGTAAGGTGATTTTAAAGATTAATTTTCCGTGTCTTGTCATTATACTGCAAGTGAATGTTCAAGTGACGTATGAAAAATTTCATGGGAAAAACACTCGAAGGTTAGAATAATACACTGTCGAAAGAAATCTCGTAAACTACTACTTTCGGAGCAAACGAAACTCGATATCTGAAGATACACCGTATTGTATTCTCTCCGTATTTCCGATATTGTTTGTAAATACCCTTGGAACACTAATGTAATTAGAAAAAGCTGACGCCCGAAGTCCCGCCCGTGTCGTTAATTTTTTTCAATCTAAAAATATTTTTAAATTTTATAATGCCATATTGTACAAAATAATAAAATTCAAACTCTAATAATATGTAATAAGATTCTTAAGCTGCAAAGCATAAGACATTGAACTTCAATACGTAAGTTCGAAGGTTTAAATTACATTGCGCGAGAGATGCAAGTTCTCGACGTCGAACAAAAATTCGACGATGACTTGTAGAACACGGTAGCTCAATTAGCTAGAACAGCAGCAGGGGTCGCCGAGGATACTGATTCAATTCCCGTCAAATAAGATTTTTAAGTTTATTAAACGTTTGTTTTCAGAACTATAGGTTCCTTCTTCCACTTGCTAAAGTCTTCTTTGGGTTCTGGACTACTCGCCATGCCTGCTGCATTCAAACATACTGGACTAATACCAGGATGTATAGGAACCGTGCTAGTGGCAATAATAGCAACACATTGCGTTCATATACTTGTAAGTATCAATATTTTGACAATAGGTATATTTAAAAAAAACACTTTAACTTAAAACTTATTTGAAAATTATTTTACTCACCGTGACCACGGCTGCTGCAAAGCATCCGAAATGTCGCGCCGTAGCTAACATTAGTTTAACTAATAATATAAAGCAGGAAAGTTTGTTTGTTTGTTTGTTTGAAAGCACTAATCTCAGAAACTACTTGTTCGAATTGAAAAGATATTTTTTGTTGGTTGAGCATTTGTCGATAAAGGTTTTAGACTATAAAACATTGCACTGTGACTAATGTGAACGAAGAAATAGTGGGAAATGTGAAAAAATACGGGGAAAATAATGTATCTGTGGATTTCCGATGCGTACGCTGCGAAAACGGTTCAAGATTCTCAATAAATATGTATAAAAAGTTATCTTTAAATGATCTAAAAAAAGGCCGTGACACTATGTGTCTATCTTTTAGGATTAACAACCAAGGATCACGGGATGCGTCCCACGTGGGTAGTAGCTATTTTTAAAAAGATGAAATAAATTGGTTTGATTTCATATTTGGATGCCCAAAATTATTCTTCTACGCGGACGAAGTCGCTGACACAGCTAGTGTTAAATATTTACATAACACTAACATAATTTTAACCCGAGTGAACTTTATTTTTGCAAATAAAATATTATTTTCATCGGCCTCTTTGTCTTCTGCACTCTTTATTAAATATAGAGTCCATTTATATTTATAAGGGATGACTTGCCCCGTTTTATTTTATGTTTATTGGGAAAATAGTATCGCGAAATAGGGTATTGTATCTCCTTAATAACATTCTTTCTCGGCCGTAGGCCTACTCTTGAAATCTTTCCCATGTTTCAGCTGAGCTAAAGCATGCATGAAAGATTAAGAATTTCGTTTGCTTTGCTGCAAGAATACATAGGAGTCCCGGCTTTGAAAAATACGATTAAACTTTCAAATAAAACACCTTGCAGCGGCCGAAACGTCGGGCCGTCGTTAAAATAATTCTCAAATAAGTTTAACTCATATTATATATCGCGTTCTAAATCGGTAAAGTGTTGGTACTCGCGTAACCTACAGACAGTATTTACGATTAAACTTTTTAGATCGAAGAACACATTGCAGTCTTACTATTTTCATGGTTTACATTTCAGAAATTCAATCGATTAGTCAAATAGACACAGAAATATATCTGCTTCATACTGACTGATTTACTTTGTGGTGTACCATAGATGCATGGGTACAGTATTTGTTGTCATGTACTTTCAAAAGATAATAACCTTGTGTTCATGTAAATTTTTTAGTTTAAATGTACATTTTATTGCATATTATTATTTTTCCTGTTGCCATTTACTTTTTAATTGTAATTTTGTTTTTCTTTCTACATGCATAGGTTGCCTGGAAGAAATCGCTATAGGCGATATGGTCGCTTTAAGTTTTTAATTATATTTTATGTAATGTTCTACTGTCGTGTTTGTTCGTGAAGAGTTTTATTATATTATGTCAATTAAAAGGCTATTTTCATATCATACACGGCTGTAAATCATCAATTATTTCATTTTGAAATACGTCTTTGCACTTAATCACACTAAATGTGAAAAGTCCCGAAAACTTCGATATTAATATGCGCGGAGCGCTTTTGAAGTCACACAAAGATACCACGTGGAATTTAATATTCTATTTCGTCTATCAAATATAGACGTGTCGAACAAAACCTGCTGCAAAAGCAATTTTCTTATTGAAAGTAGAAGTTATTGAAGGTGGGGGTTTTAACGGTAATAACGCAAACTATTTGAGTTTATCTTCAATTATGACCCAAGATTTTAGATGGTCTACCCATGGTGTGGGGAGACACCACCTGCTAGATGCTTTGGGTTGGTTGGTTGGTCCTAACCTATTCGTAACAGCTTCTCTCAATATTTATTTCTTTCAATTAATTCAATTGTTTATTTATTAATTACAACAATTTAATACATAGCTTTAACATACAAAAGAATTAGTCGAATTAAAAAGATGTTTTTTTTTAGTTGTGACAAAGATGAAAGGCGCACTCATGCGCAAGTATATGTTAATAGTATTACTTTTTGTACATCTTATTTCGATAATATATATACCACTCACAATGCCCTTTTTGGTTTAAAAACTTTTAAGAGGAGTGCATTTTTTTCATTCACTATTAAAATCAGGACATTTAATTATTAATTATAGATAGTACTAACTGCACAAATTGCGTCTTTGTGATTGTATTGTCTGATATGTAGAGCTAATTCAATTTAGAGCGATAGTGTGTTCTTTGAGGATACAATATTGTGTAAAAAAGTTAAAAGACTTTTAAAGAGATTTCACATTAGTTAGCGTTATATAAAGGAGCTAGAACTTTGGCTACATAAATATATAAAAACATAATTAAAAGATAATCGCACATATATTATTTCGAGAGTAGCCCTCCCGCACCATACTTTAACAGTGACCCATATCCGTCAGAGGTAAAGGGTTACAAGATATTCCATCATTTGTTTACACTGTATCCAATAGGCAGTTGTCAACAAAGGTCGAAATTACTTTTCCTGAAAATACCGATCGAACACGATCTTAGATATATGTCCTCATATAAAGATAGTAATAGTTATTTTATTTATTATTTATTTGTTTGGTTTCCATTCAACATAATATATGCCTTTATTATAATTATGTAAATGACATAATTATGTGTAAAAAAGTATATAAAAGCATAAATTTTGTATGGAAACCATATATATATCAATAAAATAACAAGTACTGTCTGACCTAATCTCAATTACACTAAAAACAATATTCAATAACAGAGTTTGTCACTCAAAAATTTACCCCCTAACCTGTAATTGTGAAAGGTATACCCCACATCGAACGGGTTTATGGTATGTATGGCAAATAATCTTCACCGAGTCTTGGATTTGATTCCCACCGGGGCCTATCTTTCTTAATCGAATCATAATTTTTCTGGTACAAGTTGGTAATCTAGATATTTAACGGGTCATGGGTCGTAAACGATAGTTACATTAGTTAGAGTTGTACAGTGTTTGTTTCACCGATTCGGTTTCAGACTGTGGATTCCCGAATATCCAAAGCCAAAGAGGTTGACAAGGCATCTTGTATAGATACTATACTTTCTATATTGTACCTGATATAGAGGTTAGACACGAGTTATATTTGATCGAAGTTACAAGCACCAGCGTCGGATTTGTTGTCGACCTATTTTTACTTTTTCAGTGTTCTGAAAATTTTTCTGTCGACGCCGAAAATTGTTAACGGGTATTTAATTTCCACGTGATTTCAAGGTTTCATTACGGGATCGTGCATTCAGCGTAGTTGTGAAAAATCTTTGTTAGCACATTCTTCTTTATAAAAAAAAATGTTAGTATGGTTGAACTATCAAAACTAAGAAATTACTACCTATTTGTGCCCGCTTTTAACAAGTAGCCAATGTGTGGTAGTATCTCTGTTTGGTCTAATTATGCCTAAAAGTCACACGACAGCTTTCCGGGGAAGTTTAACGTATAACGCGACTAAATGCTAGAACAACCTAACCCAACACGTATGGACATAACATATGGATTAATTAAGCCTTTCACACGAAACAGAGATTGCTGGCAAACGCTTTATACTGTTAGTTGGCAAATTGACAATTTTCAACTCATACACTCAGTGCAGGTTGTATGTAGTAGCTGTGTCCGTACTGTCTGTAGTTTACGCGAGAAGTACACATTTAAATAAAACACTTTAACGATTTAAAACGCGATATATTTTAGTTAAAACTTGTTTGTGAATTATTTTAGTCTCCCCGTGACCATGGCTGCTGCAAAGCATCCGAAACGTCGGGCCACAGTGAAAAATAATTCTCAAACAAGTTTAAAATAAAATATATCGCGTTTTAAACCGTTAAAGTGTTTTATTTAAAAGCTGTGTCTGTCTTCAACAAATATTTTTATAAAATAAGAAACAAAAGAACGCTCACTATTTAGTGTTAGGCAAAAAAGAGATTAAAAAATGCATCAATTGTTTTTTATCTGTATTCTAATAAAAATGTAATTGATTTTACTAATTATATATATAGACAGATATTAAATTGGTAACACTTACTACATTAACAAATACATTGTCCGCTTTTGTCACCTTTGTGGTTATATTTTTTTGGAAAAGTAAAAAAAATATGACGTGACTTATTTTAACCGCCATCTTATTTTTATAGAGAGCAGAAAGAAATAAATTTATTCACTACTAAGGCACGCAAAGACATTATTACTAAAACATAATACAGTGTAACTTAATATTAACAGGATAAAATAATGTGGTGTGCTGCTAGTAGAATAAGATCTTACACAGTTAATATCAGGCCGTTTGTTGACCTGAAATTGATTTTAAGTAAGTCCTTAGAGTGTGGACAGCGGTGCCATACTCAAATGAAAATAAACAAAAACAAATCGCTGTTGTACAAATAAAAACACAGTAAACTTTACAAAAAAAAGTAAGACAAGTCAAGCTGCATTAAAGAAAAAAAAATGTTCTATTCCATCTACATAATAACTACATACTGGGTTAAATATTATAGTTTTCCACTGACAGAGCCACCAACGTCAGTGTATGTGTAAGATATTCAAACAAACAAAGTCAGTGTTGAATTTGTAACTTTCGTGTTTGCAATGTTTATTTTTTTTTACATTAAAACAGTCTGTATGATAAATAAATTGCAAAGCCCTTTGCGTTTAAAGAATTTATATGTAGGAGTGTAATTTTTGATCCACCGCTAAGTGAAGTCATTTTAAATTTATTTAAAAATTTTACAATACAAACTTAGTTAGTTTAAAAGTAGTAATTCTTGTAATAAGCCCGACTGCAATCTTAAAGAAAATAGTTTATATTTGAAGTTGTTTGAACATATTCCCAGGTAAAAACTTCGAGAGATATCTGCCAAGAATGCAGAACCGCTTCGTTAAGTTACACTGACACATGCAGTAGAGTGTTTGAATATGGGCCAAGGAAGTTGAGAGCCTACTCCGAGATCGTTCGGTAAGTTTAGCATCATACCAATAAAATACTGTCTATACTTTACGCGAGTAGTACACATTTAAATCAAACACTTTAACGGTTGAAAACGCGATATATTAGTTAAACTGATCTCCCCGTGACCACGGCTGCTGCAAAGCATCTGAAACGTCGGGCCGAAATTAAAAATCATTTTCAAATAAGTTTAACTAATATATCGCGTTTTTAACCGTTAAAGTGTTTTATTTAAATCATACCAATATACGAATAGTCACGTATATAACCATAGAGATTGTTATTCCTATCTTCAGGCTATCGATTCAATTTATTGTATGTGAATTAATCTATACTAATATATAAAGCTGAAGAGTTTGTTTGTTTATTTGAACGCGGTAAACAGTAGTTTTTTTACGTATCTAACCTACCGGTTCAAATTAAAAAATCTTTTGGTGTCTGTAAGAACATTTATTGAGAAAGGTTTTAATCTATTAAGCATCACGATTCGATTATTATGAGCGCAGATGCAGCAGGAAATGTGGACGAAACGGGCGGGCGGAAAATTCATTATCTTTGTGAGTTCCCGACGCGCTGTGAAAAGGGATCAAGACACCCAAAAATATGTATGAAAGAATGATTCCTCTTTAAATGATCTAAAAAAATGTTTGCGACACTATATTGTTGCAAGAACGACGGGACGCGACTAACGACATGGGTAACTTATAAAAATTAAGAGGAGGTTTGCAAACATAAATTAAGATGCCCAAAGTAACTATTCTACGCGGACGTAGTCGCGGACACAGCTAGTTACTACAAAAAATACGATTTGAACGGGACTGTTCAAATGCTGATAGCTCAATTGGTTAGAGGAACGCTTGGCATGCCAGTTCACGTCCCGCCCGTGTAAATATTTTTCAATCTAAATTTATTTACTGATAATACATACATAGTAACGAACGACCCATCGTACTAAAACTCACTACTCAGAATCCCACATAAAAATAAAATAAACTGAATAGCTTTAATATTTTGTACTGAACAGTTTTCAGAATCGTAATTGAAGAGAGAATTTCAATCAACAAATAATTATTATTGGATATATTTTATTAAACTCTATATTGAAACAATTATGCAAGCACAATTGAACGGCGATGCTGTTATTAACTTTAATTATTTAAAACAAAATTGAGTTATAATATCGAAGTAACTTTTTTGTGAAATAAAATTCATTATTAAATAGTTTTAATTTGAAATATGTATTTGTAATATTTACCTATTTTCCGTTCGTGTTTGTTCCCGCTTGAAATTAATTTATCTTTATGTATTTCCTAACAAGTGCTCTTCATTATATAACACGACCAAAATTATATGATCCAAATATGTATACTATATAAATATGTACTTAACTATGTATATATCCTATTGCTGGGATTTGTTGATGTGCTACACACCCATTTTTGATTTTGATCATGAAGGTAATCTGTATGATAATTTTACATATTAGTAGAAAGAAGCTCTACTTGGAGACTTGTACTGCGTTTAGTGGCTAACAAATCTCTAAAACTACCCTACATTTCGTTGTAGAGTGTTTGGTTTGCAATAAATATACGTTACGTATACATCGTGATTCCCAGTACACTCTATCTACACTAGCTCCTGTTACGTCATATTTTGCAATGATACTCAGTCTAACTTACCTTCTTCCAGACACTTCGCTGACTACGCAATGGCCGGCGTCTGTTTGGGAGGGACCAGCGTCTACGTCATCTTCATCGCTTCTTCCTTGAAGGACGTGAGTGCAAGCCTTCTGTTAACACAATTAATATGGAACTAATCACACTTGTCATATAGATCTTTCTAGATCATTAAATTTTAACTTTGACCCAACAACAAGACCAAAACACGAGATAAACAAACATATAACAAACATAGAAAATAGTAATATTTTGTGTTAATTTGTTTGAGACTATTTAAATAGTATTTTGTACCTTATGAAGAGACGACTATTTTGAATATTCTTTGGGCCAACTTAAATTATGATTATTATGAAAAAAGTTTGGATGCCTAATTCGAATATGACAATATAAGAATTTGGTTAAATATTAATACCAAATACATTTATGAAATTACCTAGATAAATAACTTACCAGAACGTTATAACAATCAGAACACATAATAAAACCTACTTGCAATAAAGAGATGGCAATTCAATCAAGCGCTAATCGACTATCAACTCGTAAGTCCTGAATGAGCTAGTATGAGATTTACTGAGAGTTGGCTATTATGGAACGTGAGATTTATATGAGTTTGACGGATAAAATACGCGACCGAAACGTACTCGAATCGTCAGTTCGTGGTTAATAATAAATTAACTGGTATATGTGTTAAACTGTTAAGATAATCACATTTAAACAGCGTTTTGGTATAGATAAATATAATATACTTTATTTAATTTTAAAAAGTCTGTTTGAGCATTCACTCTTGGGTTGTGTAACAAAAAAATATTTTAAATTACTGAGCAAATAAACAGTAAGTTTTGTTCATGACGTGTTCTATTTTTTTTTTCAAACTGCACTTGATTAAAACTCACAAACACGAAAAAAAATATCGTTATCTATAAAACTCGTACTATGGTATCGACCTGAGTTGAACTATGTCGGTTAATGACCTTTATAATCTTAATTATTTAGCTCACGCGCAAATTGATCAACGAGTTTCCTACTAATTTTATATTAACCAAACTAATGCCGAAGATTATTGTTCATCTTGTCCTTAGTACTTGAGTTTGATTCTGGGGGAAATCAATAACTTAATTTCCAAAAAAATCTCACAACGGCTCGTGGGTTCAATTCCTACTGCGGCTGACATTTATGTAATCGATTTATAAATCTCAAACATGTTACACTTCATCTGGAAATCTGAATATTGAATTGGGTGGTGGGAATTTTAATAATTATTAGAATCGATTCCCTTCTTTGTTGACAATGCATCTTGTATAGATATTATATGGCTGGTAAACTTCTGCTACCGTCAAGTGAACTATGTTTGTTTGTCATCCTCTATGATAGAAAAGTATAAATACAAACACAAAGGTTAAAAAAAAGAGAAAGACACAACTTTAATAGCTTACCATTGTGATCTATTAAAATGCGATTACACAAAATATCTATGAAATAATGACACACTAATAAACATTACACTAAAAAAAAAAGCGCATGCACTCACAAAATGTCCCACACACCACAAAGTGAAACACTGTACTAACCAAGATCCTAAGAACCAGGTTTATCCGTCCAGGTCTATTTTAAGCTGCAAAGTTACCTGCAGTTAATCTTACCTGTACAAAACAAAAGAGCTCGCTCAGGATTGCTATCACTGCTTTTTGTAAGATGTACAAGTGTGATAATTTTGCTTAATTTTAAGAACAATTTAATGGTTTAATTGTTAAACGTATTCCTTAACATTGCATGCACGAATTTTGTTTGATCTCCAGGTAGACATCATTTGTCTGTATTTGTGTGGTAACATAATTAATGAATATAAAACAGACACAGAAATATGTTTCCCCTCTGCCCCACAACGAAATGGCACTTTAATATACGGAATAGTGATAGAATATAAGTTCTTACTTACTAAAAATTGTAAAGGTAAAATGCATTTAGCAAACTTATTTAAAATATTTTGATACGTCTATACTAATATATAAAGCTGAAGAGATCGTTTGTTTGTATGAACGCGCTAATCTCAGGAACTACGCGTTCGAATTGAAAAATTAGATTTTTGTGTCGGTTAGAGCATTTATCGAGGAAGGCTATAAAACATAACGCTGCGACCAATAGAAGCAAATAAAGAGAGGGAAATGTGGATATACAGGTAAATTTATTCATCGTTATGGGTGTCCGAGGCGTACGCTGCAAAAATGTTCAAGATACCCAAAAAATATTTATGACATAATGATTCCTCTTTAATGGATCTAAAAAAGTCGCCGGCGCTATATGTCTATCGTTTAATCTTAACTTGCAAGAACGACAGGAAGGGACGCGACAGACGTCGTGGATAACAGCTTAAGTTTATAAAGGGGTTTGATAAAACGAATTTGGATGCACATTCCTCGCGGATGATGTCGCTACAGAGCTAGTCTGTTAGATAAGCCTATATAATTAAGGATTGTAAATGTTGACTTATACACTTCGTGTTCAAAACCGTTAAAAGTGCGGACGCAACTTTTTAATTCTTATTGATTATCTAACTGTATTTAAATCTTTTATATTATTTATTCGGTTGTACTATGCTACTAAAATTTTGTAGATGAAATTTTTATTTAATAGAACCGACGAATGAATTGACATGACAACAACATAGGTATTTGTGACCTAGACACGCGTGTGGAGTAACAGACTTTCACTACTTAAAGCTAGTTCAATATGTGTGAAAACACATTATACAGCCCCGCGGCCGAGAAAATCAATTTTCCGATCAGTACACACGAGCGTGGCGTAGGCGTGTGAAATGAAACATTTTCACGGTCTTGTGGCAATTATGGTAAAAACGGTTTTAGTACATTTTTTTTAAACTATAAAAGGACCTAATCTTTTATATTTTTTTGTTATACAAGGTCATAAACGATTCGAAATGATGGCTTAGGTAATCTACTAACAGTTTTTGCAAAAAAAAAAACATTACAATAAATATTATAGTTAATTTTTTTTTTATCCTATGTAGCCATATGGTTAAACATCTAGCATTGCGTTAAGCGCGAGAGGTCCTGCGTTTGAATTCCAGGAAACCAAAAAAATGTTTTGGTCAGGCAGGGCTCAGAGGTCTGATCAACTACTTGCCTGTTAAGGAACGGATCATTGAAACGGATACAGAAATGTGTTCGCCCCATGCCCCACGAGGGGGAAATGGGATTTCGCACAAAGTTAATTTTAAAAGAAGTTTTTCGTCATTCTTGTAAAGATAAAAAATTTAATCTCAAATAAATAATCTGGCTTTTGGTCTTCATAGCCCGTTGGTTAAACGTATCGCCTATTACATTGCGCTGAAACACCAGAGATTTAAATCCTGGAAAGCAAATACATACATAAATTGTTTCGGTTGGGCAGGGTTCATTCACTATTAATTATTATTATTATTATATTTATTATTAAATTAACTACAATAACTAACTAGCATGTGTAAAAATCGTTTTGTATTAAAACAGCCGAAATCTTATAGTCTTAGCAAATGTATAGGTACAATGTGTATGTGCAATAATATATAGATGTAGTTTTTTTCAAAGACTATTCAATATAATTTCTATAAAATTGCACTTTTCGAGGTATATTCGTTTGGGTCTATTTTGCAAAAAATCGAAGGCTTTTAAAATACATAAAGCACATTATGGTAAATACGTCTTACACATATTATTTAGCTATAACTATAGGTACTTCTAGCTGTACCGTCCCTAGCACCTTCAAATGTTTTTCTGATTCATAAAGCCTTTTCCTTGCCCTGTTAATGTGAAAATGATGAGTTGCTGTTTGTAAGCTTCACGAGTACAAATGAAACATTATTTTTCGATACATATAAATAAATAATACATGAATGATATATTTTTAACAATAAAAGTAAGCTCTTGTATTTTTATATATTTGACTGTTATATAATATTTCAATAATACTATATACTTACTTCAGTTACTTTTTAATTATATATAAAAGAAAGTTTTATGAGTTTAGACCCACCTCAAATTTGAGTTCAACAGTTATGCTCACTAATGTGCCATTTGTATTTAAATTTCTTCAAATTTAAATACCGAAGTTTAATATAACCTAATTTCAACCTGGGACTTCGTGGTTTGCATTCGTGTGCACTAACCACTAGCACAATACAGGTTACGCAGATACATTAAAATACTGTCTAGTTTACGCGAGTTGTACATATTTAAATACAACAATTTAACGTTTATATATTTTTACATTATTTTCGTGTAAGAAAAAACAAAAGATTGTTTCAATAAAATATTTTAATTGTTTAAAACGCGAAATGTTTTCGTGAAGTAATTTTAATTTATTTTAACTACCGCCCGAGATTTTACCGCTCCGTGTTTATGGAAGGACTCAAATGTTATGTAATGGGAAACTTTACAAATTATAGTCCCTGTTTGTCCCTGTGACCACGTGCTACGACTACTAAAACTTTAAAAGTGTGTTATGGTTTAGAAATATTTATTTAGTTCAAATTTTTACAATTCACCTAAAACGACAACTGAAATTGCTTTATTTACAAATTTCTTGTAAGTCTCGCAATCTTATTTTTCTAGGATTATATATCCTGGAATGAAAATAAGAAAGAGGGTTTAAGATATGATTGAGTAATTTCTTTAAAATAAAAGACTAATTATTTTTTAAAGACTAAATATTTTTAATTTTAAACAATGTTAAACTTATGGAACTCCATACGTTGCTAGGCAAATTATTATATACTAGCTATATCAGCGACTTCGTCCGCGTAGAATAGTTGTTTTGGGTATTCAAATTTGTTTTTGAAATCCTCTACGTCTTTATAAATTTAAGCTGCCCATGACATCGGTCGCGTCCCTCGCTTGCGACCCGTCGTTCGGGTCCCGTCGTGCTTGCAGATTAATCTAAAAAGATATATACATTGTATCGCGGACATTTTTTCAGATTATTTAAAGAGGAATCATTACTATATACATATTTTTTCGGTTTATTGAATTGATTGATTGAATTTTAAATAAAACTTCAATATATAAGATAGTAGATAATTCTGCATGGACCCGGCCAGTTTCGCCAAATACCGACTTCGACGGAACAGATTTTTACTTGAGTCTGACTTTGACGGCTGCTAGCATCCGAAACGTCGAGCCGTAGTTAAAAATAATTCTCAAACAAGGTTAACTAAAATATATCGCGTTTAAAACCGTTAAAGTGTTTTATTTAAATGTGTACTACTCGCGTAAACTACAGACAGTAACTAAGATTTTTGTTTCAGATCTTCGACCATCTGACTAATGTAGAATATTCAGTGGAGGTCTACTGCGGAATGTTGTTATTGCCTCTCATTCTCATAACACAAGTGCGCTACCTAAAATTCCTTGTACCCTTCTCATTCATCGCCAATGTTTGTCTGATGATAACCTTCGCGATCACGTGCTATTATACTTTTGAGGAACTACCGGATGTTAGCAATGCAAAATTGGCAAATAGTATCGAAGGTTGGCCTCTATTTATAAGGTGAGGGTAAGCAGTTTATTTTATTAAAATCCCTCTGTGAAAGTGGCGCAAAACTGGACTTTGGTAAAATCCAGATAAATGCCTATTAAAAATACCATTCTTTAAAATCTATAATTACGGTTATTTAAACTTATATATTCTACAATTGTTAATGCTTAACTAATTAACTCATTCTTAACTAAGGCTTTATTTCGATACATATTCTTTTAACAGTGCGGCCCACATAATGTAGACAGACATGAAAACACCTACCAGTCGCTGACACACATATTTCGCTATAGCGGAGTAATAACTAAGAATCAAATTTGAGACGCTCGAAGTTGACGAAATCCTCGAAAATCCCTATTCCTTGTGAGAAAACGCTTATAAATCCTAAAGGACTGTTTTGATTATATTAGGGTTGCCCCCAATACGCATATACAGCCTCCATAGGGGTTGTGTACAGATTAACAATGCAATCTAATAAGTGGTATATTCATTACGATGTTATAATAATACTAGACTTGAAAACTTTAATATTTTTACGTACTTTAATATGTTAACACTTGCGAATTAAGGTTCAACGCATTATGCTTTGCAGCTTAAGAAATCATTGAAGTTGAAATAACAAAGTTATAACGTCAAATTCAAACGGCGTGAAATTCAAAATCAAAACAAATTCGTAATTTATTTCATCTTCAAATTTATTTCCGATTTTTAAAATACTTATAAATTTTTAATTTTATATATTTTATTAATACTAGAGTAATTATATACTATATTGTTCATGTTGATGACGCCATCATGAAAGCGAAATGTAGAGAAAATTTTCTCAATTACGACGGTCGAATAGGTCGAAAACCGAAGTAGCTTTATAATTAATTTTTATCAACTCTCGTTATTCATAGCTTTCCACTGGGGACAATAATAAATAACTGTTTTATGGATAATAGTAAAGGTATCAATACTATAGAACACTTTGACGAGAGTTAAAAACTACGTTTGAGTAGATCTATGAAAAAAAATGAAACCATTTATCATTTTCACTTCATGTATGTCCGATATAGAAATGATAGAAGATAATTCTTCTCATATATCATCTAGTCAAAAACATGTAATTAAGTTGTGAACAAGTCTTATATAAACATATAAAATAAGTATAAACTACATGTAAAGTACGTGAAGACTGTAAAATAAAACTAAGCGAAAAAGGAGTATCTTACCAGTTCTCCTTCGTACTACGCCCTTGATTTGAGAACTGGTAAAGGTAAATATTTAAAGTTACCTAAATGAATAATTATTTTCGACTTACTTTGCACGTGTTGTTAATATATGAGTGTCCCAAATATTTCACTTCACCCGGAATAACACACCCAAACATAATGAGAGCCGTCTTCGACAGGGGTTCTCAATCAGGGTCAGTTCTTTTATCAGAAGATAATAACCTGCTATATAACCCCAATAGTTGAGTTTCTTTACAAGTAACTGTTAGTTTTATTGCCTTTCATGCCAGTAATCCTAAATATCCCGAAGGTAGAAGTACACAGACCAGGCATATGTTATTTCAAAGTTGAATTATTGTTATTAAAAATCAGTTCAGTAGTTTTTATTTCAAAATTATTGTTTTCCTAGAAATACAACTTTGCAGCATAACCGCGGCATCCACCCGTAACCACGGCTGCTAAAAGCTTTATATATCCTTAATAAGTTAATAAATACATTCCAGGTTTTAAACTGTTCAAAGTGTTTTATTTAGTTATTACTCGCTTTTATAATTATTTTAGTGTTAATAAACAATAATCTACTGCCTTAAAGCTTCACATTCCTGAAGTAGGATTTAAAAAATCCTAACATCCACCATCTACATAATGTATGATCTTATATAGGTTATTATAATATCTAAGAATTAGGGGTCCATTAAAAAATTTAACGGTTTAAAACGCGATATATTTGTTAGACTTATTTGAAAATGATTTTTTAACTTCGGCCCGACGTTTCGGATACTTTGCAGCAGCCGTGGTCAGGGGGAGACTAAAGATGGAGGAAGTCTCTGACGTCAAAGTAAAAATTGCTACGCTAGCGCCATCTGTTCCGTCGAAGTTGATATTTGTCGAAACTGTATCGCGTTTTAAACCGTTAAGGTGTTTTATTTAAATGTGTACCTACTACTCGCGTAAATTATAGATAGGGTCCATATTTGTTAAAGATTCTTCCACAACTATGAAATACTTTTTCGATTGATATATTTCTTCAATCTTTCTTTAATAACTTTTATTAATAACATTTGTTCCAGTACAGCAATATTCGCGATGGAAGGTATCAACGTTGTTATGCCAGTTGAGAACGAGATGACAAAACCCCAGGATTTCCTCGGCTGTCCAGGGGTTTTAAACATAACCATGGTTCTGGTAGCTATTCTATACGGAACTGTAGGGATCTTCGGCTACCTGAAGTACGGAGATGAGGTTTTGGGGAGCATCACGTTAAACTTGCCACAAGATGAAATGTTAGTGTACATTTTTGATATCTATATTTTAACATTTTATTTACTATAATTGTTTTTGTTTTTTTAATTGTAATTTCAAGTTTAACGGGGTCATTGGTCTAATGGTGGCAAAGTCTGGCTATAGCCTACAGATTATGGGTTCGATCCCCACCAAGTCCAACATTTTTCTAATCAATTTTTAAAGAATGTTCGGACATCGCCTGAAAATCTGGATATATTTTGAGTAGTTGGGATATCTAAAATCTCGTCAGGGTCTAACCAATATATATACAAAGGTAAAGTTAAACTTAAGTTTAAACATGTTTCGGTGTCTGTTTGTGCATTGCCGAGTATCCAAAGCTTCGATTTGACATCTTGTCAAGATGGCTTACGTATTTCACCTTCCATCAATGGGGTGTACCCCCATGCTAGTTTATCTTTCCCTATTACAATATAAAAGCCCTTACTTAGCAACGAGCACGACCAATGGACCACAAAAATAAGGCTTTAATACTTCACCCTGAAATACCTGGCCCAAGTACAATGTGCTATTAAACTAGTATTATTAATAATTTTCCCCGTAGCTTCTTAAATCGATAGAAATATACTCGTGGTTACAACGGAACGAAGATGCCATTTTTGTGAACAGTTTATGAACCTTTCAGACCTCTTCAATTCTCTCAGATCACATTTGCGTAAAACGTATTAATGCTTTTACAGAGAGTTTACTTTCGCGCGAATCCATCCAAATATTAATTAAATCCGTTTAAAATATTCAGACGCTGTTAAACCGCGATTAGGGGTTTCTGAAACAGTTCTTTAAACATACAATTTAAGGCCTTATACAAGTTTTATTACAGAATTAAGCGTTTTACGATATTGTATTTTGAAGGGTTTCTATTAATAATACATAAATCGTTACTACTAAAAACAAATGAAAGCTTAGTTACGAATTATTTATTTATTTAGATGAGTAAATAGTAGAAACAAGTTATTAAATTTTATCTTTTTCGTACATACTTATACATATAACAAGTATACATAATTGTCAAAAAGACTGTCAAAAATTAATAGTTAAATAAAACACTTTAACGGTTTAAAACGCGATATATTAGTTAAACTTATTTGAAAATGATTTTTCCCTTTCTCTTCCCGTGACCCGTGCTGCAAAGCATCCGAAACGTCGAGCCGAAGTTAAAATCATTTTCAAATAAGTTTAACTAATACATCGCGTTTTAGACCGTTAAAGTGTTTCATTTATTTTTTTTTGTTATTTAAAATCTTTGTTACATATTACTCTTTATATATATAAGTGCAATGCGTGTTAGTCGTTGGAGGTAGACTGTTGGCTTTTTATAATTAATTTATTACTCGTGTATTTGTGTGTTATACATATGTAATAAAATTACACCACAAATAGTTCTCAAACCCTATTTAACATAGTAGATAGTACTACAAAAGTATATATATATATAAGATCTTTCCCCTCTGGGGTATAGGACGAAACATTTCTGTTCCGTTTCACTGATCCGTTCTTTAACAGGTTGATTGTTGGCTGTTGACGTTATTCCGTAGACCGAAAATATTTTTTGTTTACCCGAGATTTAAAACTAGTACCTCTTGCGCTTGATGCAATGCTAGGCAATACGGTTATTTATTTGGCTACAGCGGCAGTCAATATATAAAGAAGAATAGAGCTAAATTTAAAAGTAATAGCTGCGTTGAATGATTAAACGATCTAAAAAGCTCAACAAAAATAAATACTCAATTCATCGGCTTTTGTTTAATCCCAACGCAGTGTTGGGTTGAAAGCAAATATCAGCGATTAAATAAAATCGCTGTTATAACTCCAATTGAATATATTTATTATATAAGAGGAGCATCAGGTTCAATTAATGGAAGGTTACATGATTGCTTATAAAACATCCAACAATAAACAATACTGTTGATATGTTTATATAGCCCATCAGGAGTGCCGGCCTATCTTGACCTGAACCCGATGCGATTGACATTCACAGCTTTTTCCATTAGGTTCGCGATTCGGTCTGAATTTCAATATTCCTACCACTAATGTTATATCCAGATTTTCAGACGTCCAACATGTTTAGCTATAATTAAATATGTTAGATCTGGTGCGGATCGAACCCACCACCCGTGATCTATGAACGCCAACATTGCTGGCGAACTTATTTTGTTCAAGTAAAAGTATTTAGTCTACTTTAAATATGTACTGTACACAAGTAAATGCCATATCCCCGTGTGGGGCATGGAGCGCATACATTTATTTTTCCTTCTTATTAATCAAAGTCTTGTGTCCAGGCCGACCGAAAAAAATGTTATCCTGGCTTTGAAACTTTAAACCAATGTTGTTTCACTAGTGGATTTCATCAAATCGGTGAAATATTGTAATTTCAGACACTTTCTTAATAGTTTGATACCGAGACTAACGAACATAATTTAAACAATAGGTTATTTCAAGATTGTCTTTCGTTAATGGTACAAAGAAGATAAAAATACTCCACAATAAACGCAAAGTGAACAATAGCTGAGTGTCATTCCTTTTATTTTACGAAAAATTTTTCTATCGTGATTTTTTTGTTTTTATAATTTTTATTTTACTTTAAGTCGTAAATACCAATTTTATTTTTTTTTGGATTTATTTAGTTGTGTGTAATGCAATACAACAATAATATATTATGTTATCGTTAAATATACTTTTAAAATAATTTATGTCATCGTTTGAATGATCATATGCGAAATCCCATTTCCCCTCGTGGGGCATAGAGCGAACGCCTTTCTATGTCCGTTTCACTAATCGGTTTTTATTTAATGGCAAGTAGTTAATCATACTTCTGTGCCTACCGGACCGAAACAATTTAGTGTTTCCCCGGGATACAAATCCAGGACCTCTCGCGCTTAACGCAATGCTAAAGAACATGTTTAACCATTTAGCTACAGAGGCGATTGAATGATCATATTGAGATATAAAAAATTAAACTAATATTTAAATTTTATTTTCCAGCCTAGCGCTATCAGCAAAAGTTTTAGTGGCCATAGCAGTATTTTTCACGTACTGTTTGCAAATGTATGCGCCAATGGACATACTTTGGTCGCGGATCAGTAGCAGGTCTGCTACTGAGTACCACAATCTTGGCCAGATAGCTCTCAGGACTATAAGCGTCGCACTCACTGGTAAGTAGCTTGCGAGGTGTTCAATTTTATTCCAGGAATCGTAAAGGACATTGAAATACCACAAAATATCTCACATAACTTCACAAGATGCGCATGCGTTCTCAATATTGTGCCCGTATGTCAGATTTATACTAGATAAATTATTATTATTGATTACCTTTTCGCGTCTTAACGTTTATATCGATTTTGATAAAGCTTATTACCAATATTCCTCACACTGTTCTGAAAAAAATAACACATAGATCGTAAATATTATTGTCCCGAAAAATAAGACTTTTTACTACTTACTGAAAACAAATTTGTTTCTTAACATCAACATACGGGTTATACCTCAACACGGTTATCTGATGTCTTTTCAATTTCTATCAATAATAATAACATTATATATTTGTATATCCTATTTTGTTGTGCCTGTGACTTTGTCTGCACGGATTTGTTACTTTGGGCATCAATTTTTTTTGCAAAGAACCTCCCTCCTCCGCTTATAAATTATATCCTCAATAAGTTATCTATTAAATACAAAAAATATTTAAATTCAACTTAGTATTTTCTGGGATAATCGCATTCGAACAAATAAACAGCCAAGCTCTTTAGCTATATAATATTAGTATAGATTAATAATAATAAATATTATATGTTCTTTTGTAATTTTGTAAATAGTCAAAAAAGTTAAAAATCATTTATTCATGTAGCACTTATGAACGTCATAAAACTAGAGAATCTAACTTTTACATTTACAACCAGTTCTCATATCAAGGTCGTAGAACGAACGAAAAGAAGTGGCAAGGAACTCGCCACCACTCCTTTTATATAATATAGATATGTTATGTACCCTTAAAGCAAATATTCATTAACTAAGCAATAAAAACGGACAATTTGGAATAATGTTTCTTTTAATTAGCAATATTCAGCGTCGTTTCATTAGATTGTAAAAGCGGTTTTTAACATAACAGGGCTTTGTTTTATAGCCATTGTCGGCAAGTCTGATTGATAGCTCAATTTCGCGGAGAAATCTGCGCTAGGTACTAAATTCCGGTTAGTTGTATTAACCGATGTATCTCCTTTATGCAATCCGGTTTGTTTGAATATTCGGAATGAAATTTGTAAATTAAACTCTACATGTATTTTACACGAAACATCAACAAGATTTAAAATACAATCATATTGTGTTTTATAAGTTAACTAATTTAATTTACTTTAACTGTGGCCCAATGGTTTGAATCCGTCCCCACGTATCCACGACTGCATACATAGCAGCCGAAACGTCGGGTCATAGTTAAAGTAAATTTAAAAGTTTAAATATCTTTGGCGTTTTAACCCGTTAAATTTCGTATTCTGAGCCAGTAAAGAAATAGTATTGTTATGTATCGCTATGTGTAAAACTACTAATCAGATTTTTAAGAAAATCTGGTATTTTACGTCATTTCCGGTTCTTTCACACAAATTCCTGTTTTCACAGGAATTGCCTGTTTACTCGTCCTTCTATTGCCATAAATTTCGTCGTATAAACACGTTAATTTAACGTAATGTTAGACATACTTTTATAGATAGAAAAAATGAGAAACTATAAAATAAATATTTATTTTAACAATACAAATTAATGAATAAAATAGCATGTGATGGTAATAATATTTTATCTGTTACTCAGCAAAAGTTAGTGACTGTCTACTTTCCACATCTTGATTTGTTTTTGGTAACTGCTTAGTAAAAAATAAGCACACAATCACACACACACTTTATATATAACTAGCTGTGCCCGCGACTTCATCCACGTGGTAAAGTGACTTGGGGTAGAATATTTAATTATGTAGGCTGTTTATTAATTTATGTAGGGGCGCATTTAAGGTAACCTATCTATGTTGTAAGTGCTACTTTGCCGCAACACTTACCTCACATGCATTTCCCGGATTGTGAAGAACACATAGGAGATGATAGCCCTGAAGATGAAAACGAAAATAGTAATCAGGCACAGGAGACTATCATCACAGAGGAAAAACTAGAGTGGAGCATTAGGTCTTTCCAACCATACAAGGCAGGACCAGATGGAATATTTCCAAAGATGCTTCAAGAAGCATCTTTGCAAATAGACCATTACTAAATACTGTCTGTAGATTACGCGAGTAGTACACATTTAAATAAAGTACTTTAACGGTTTAAACGCGATATATATTAGTTAAAATAATTTTAACTGCGTTTAACTAATATATATGGCGTTAATGTTTTTTCAAATAGATTTTTACAACCTAATCTGGATAAAATAAAATTGCGAAAATGCATTAAATAACATTTTGTATAATTTTTATCTAACTTAAAATAAAATAATATTAAAACTAATAAATATTGAAGTTAAGATACTGGCATAGCCGTACAGTGCGTGGGTACGGCAAGTAATATTGGACTCAAATTGCGCCGAAAAAATCCACGTTCACTTTGATTTTATGAAAATATTGCGAATCAATCAATCAGGAAAATATTACTAAATATGAACAGTATTGAAGCGGAGGGGATTTGATGAATGACTCTGTAATATAAAATGTGTAAAAGATAAAAATAGAATTGGAAAAAGCAGGTCCTTCCATTAAAGGCCTCACAACAAAAACCTGAGTGACAAATACCCCTTTTTTTTTTTTTTTTTTTTTTTTTTTTTTGGGGGGGGGGGGGGGGGGGGGGGTTTTTTTTTTTTTTTTTTTTTCCCCCCCCCCCCCCCCCCTTTTTTTTTTTTTGTGGGGCCCTAGGTCTTTATTGACAAAGGGCCTCACAACAAACAAGCCTGAAGGCAAACAAACAAGGCTTTTTTCAGAAATTGAATAATTAGAAAGATGTTGAACCTGGTGGGGATCAAACCAACGACCTATTGATCATTATCCATACATTGCCACCATTCGACCAACGAGCGCGTCAAAATATGTTGATGCAATGTTTTCATTTTCGATTGTTGGTCTGAGTTATTTTAGGTCAAATATGTTAGTTTTTGTGGGATAATGTCTCTCATTATCTTTATTATATATCCCGTCAGGCACCCGCAATTATTTTTTTTCTAATCAGTCTAAAATAGTTTTTTTTTACCGTTTTCTCGACACGACACTGATAGCATTGAATGTATATTTATGTATTGCAGATCTACAACAATTCTTAAATATGCTCTATTTTTTACGCAATAGTTTTTCAAAATGGCTGCGATGGAATGGAGCTCATACAATTTAAACGTATTTTTTTAACTCTGTATGTTTACCGAAAAAATCACGCAGATATAACGAACCCAGAAAAGATGATTAATAAAAAATGGTTACCAATAGACGGCGCTGTGTACTTTATCAATTTCCAATCCCCGTTCACTCTTATTTCTTCCTAATCCTATTAGGGATAAAGTAGGTACTCTGTAAATACATATTTTACTGAATTACCGAGAAACGAACGAGCAATGTGGTAGCAAATTAGTTTTCATTTCTACCCTATTCTTTTTCATTTCGTTTTTGTAGGAAAACTACCCGATAGTAATACATAAATTTTCATTTGAGTTTTCCACCTGATTGCTGCCTTTTCGCTATCTATAAAAGTGCAGATTCTATCGGGTTTCTTTCAAATACATAGAAGTTCTACAAATGATTGAAGGTAATATATCAACCTCGTTCCTTTGGTAATTCGGATTTATCTAGATCAGAAATAAAGCGTGAAATAAAACTACCCGCATGTTGTCTATTTCCGAGCATCGCCCTTTGTTTAAGGAACAATTATTAACTGTTTTACGAATTTTGAACCCCGCGTGGATCAGACCGGTCGTAAACCTATAGTTTTATGAACAAAGGCTCGTGGGGGTGAATGTGCCGTGCGTTTATTTCACTCATCGTTTTTTATAGTTCGTAATCAACTTTATGTACCCTGTCCGACTTTGTTGTTTCTTCTGTAATATGCATTATCATTTTATCTCTTCCAGTAATCCTTGCCATCGCTGTGCCAGACCTCGAGCTACTGATCGGCCTCGTGGGTGCCATCTTTTTCTCAACGCTAGGTCTACTAATACCAGCCGTCATACAAACAGTCCACAAGTGGGACAGAGATTTAGGAAAATTCAACTACATACTGTGGAAGAATTTAATTCTGTTAATGTTTTATTTAATTGTTTTAATATCGGGGTGTTACTCTGCCTTATCGCAAATAATTGCTAAATACGGTTGAACGACAAATATATGTTTTATTCAAATAGTTATTAGGACGTTCTCGTCTTTTTGATTGCTCAAATATAATGACTACTGGACCTAAACAGTCTTAATAAATCTACAATTTGCTATCATAATCCTTGTAATAGGAAAATCGACGTTTGTTAATAAATAGAATAATTTGCGTTACTCTTTTAATGTTTTCTAGTTAAATTATAAAGTTAATTATAGTATAGTTAATAAAAAAAATATATTTATATATTAAGGATTTTGTATACCTGTTTAATGTATGTTAATAAGTTAGTATATTATGATTAATTTATTGAAAATTAATAAACAAGATAATCGACATAATATTATCTTTTCTTTAGTTAGCTTCTAATTCTTTAGATATTATAAAAAAATCCATTAGAATTTATAAAGAACTCCGTAAAAACGAAATTTGGAAGTGATTTCAAATCTTATTTAGCTGTACTTTAATTAAATATAATAACACAAAACCTATAATATATACACAAAAAAAGAAACAAATTGTATACATTTATACATATAAGTAGTTGCCTTAAGTGATAATATAGTATGTTTATATTTTTATACTGTTTATTTAATTATTTAGTAATAGAGATATCAAAAATACTAGCTAATTAAACTAACTAGACCCTTCGTATAAACTGTTCTGTTTTTTAACCTTATATCCTGAAAACTAATAAAAGTATATCTAGTAAAATATATTTAAGAAGGTTAGTATTCGTATATTATAAGCTTTTATTGCATAAAATATCGCTTTAAATTGTCGTGTTATAATTATTTAAACAAATATAATATAATTTTTATATATTTGGAACAAAGTTTAGCTTTGCTTTCGATTCCAAAAAAATAATTTTTACTGCCCAAAAACATGAAGTAATTCTTCGTGCAAGAGATTTTTTTTGTAAAAAAACTCATTATGTACACTTTCTTGAATAATATATTTAAGCAAAGTAAAACCATTACTCCCGCAAAATAGTGTTTTTCAGCTAGACGGCATCGATGGTTAATATATTACCGAGAACACACGGAGCGTGGGTTCGAGCGCCATCAAATCCAATAATTGGTTCCTATTGAGAATTCCGTAATAATAATATCAAGTATCGGCTACACAGACCACATAGACAAACATTACCCTTTATGTATACCTAGGAATTTATTGCTCATGCTTTATAAATAATGCTTTTGAATAGGACATTATGAATTAGACTATTTAGACTTTTAAGTATAAGCAAAGGCTGTACGCGAAATAATTTGTTAATAACATTATGCCAGCTGTATTTTCATTTGCCTTTATAACATTTTCAGTAAAAGCCTCTATTTCAAATCGACACCTACACACAGAATTAGCATAATAAAGATCACATTCAAAGGCTGAATAATTGAAATGAAACACATGTATCTTGCGCATTTTTATTTAATCTACATATACAATCAGAAAAAATAACACGAATTTGCTTTCTGTGCCAACTTAAAACTCTTTCAATTCAAAAAAGTTTGTATATTTTGTTGAAAAAAAAAGCTAAAAGGGAAGTGACAATAGACTGGAGTAAGGAGTAATTTTGCAGAACCAAATACAAATAATATAAATACTTAAATTTGTCAGTACTCTACGAGAGCAGCACGTTACTACGCTTAACATTTTAAAACGCGAAATTACTTAATTTTAATATAACCCACAGGTGGCGCTAGCGTAGGAGATTTGACTTTCACATTAAGGACACCCTTCATTTTCACTCGGGCCTTAGTCAAAATAAATTACCTAATACATTTATTATTACCTTTCGCGTATTTAACCCGTTAATCGTGTTTTGTTTTGTTTAATGTTTAAATATACCGTCACTGTGGAAAAAATATAAATAATTGCAACTTTAACTCATTATAACTAAAGTATATTAGTTAAGTTTACTAATACTGAATGACTAGAGTAGTTTTCAAAATACTTATCACAGGTAAAATTGTGCAAATTAACAACCATAACATAAAAACAATACTTTGTACGATAAAATGTAATAAGGAATATGCATAAAATATGTTTTACTGTACTGTTCGCGTTAAGCGCGATTGGGCCTGGGTTCGAATTCCAGGGAACAATTGTTTCGGTCGGGCAGGGCACAGATGTCTGATCAACTACTTGCTGAGCAACGAAGAACGGATCAGTGAAACCCTATGCCTCACGAGGGGGACGCGGAATTTCACTACAGTATGCATATTCCCCATTATAAAATATACCCTTTTCTTCACCATAAATTCCGTCTATATTATATACTTATGTGTTTACAATACAGATATATTATATAAATGAAATTAAGCTTTATTTTATTAATTATTTATATACAGCTTTTTAATTTAATGTATATCTTGTGTCATTTCCTTAAGTATTATAGGAGAATGTTATAACTAAGTAAGAAATAATTTTGTTTTAAAATATGACTAGAGGTTTGTACTTGAAGATTTTCAAAGAAGCATTATAATACAAATTCAGTAATACTCATTCATTCGTTCAGTAGTAATTTAACTTTTTACCATGAGTTAACTACTGTAACTTAAACAGTTGTTAAATTCATTTTTTTAGTTGTGTAGCTAACGGCCGGATAGCTGCAGTGTTTATAAGCCCTTACAAATAAAAGAAACTACAACAGATAGTCACAATGAAATTTGGCAATAACAAAGATCTACAATCTAGGATAAGAATTTCAATGTACATACTTAAACTTGAAATGATTGTAAATCATCCGATACTTTGCAGCGGGTGTTTGTATTGTAGTAATTTATGCAAATTCACATACAACATGTCTTGAGGACTCGATATTACGAAATACACCAGGCCCAGGATGGAGAGAACCGCTCGCCATATTGAAAAGTGCGTCCATGTGTGGTAGAATGTAGGTATTGTTGGCTGCAATGTAAATCTTATTGTAAATAGGCTAAAGTCTGAATTCTGTCACACCATAGACATATAACATCTAACAAAAGGATTACAAACAAGTATGGGGGTTCTCTTGATGACAGGTGAAATACAGTAGCCATATAATCTTTCAACTAGATGTGCCGTTGACCTATTTAAGCTTTGGATGTAAGCAACTCTAAAAACAGTTGGACATGTTGATTCTTATATCTAACTATTATACACCACCTAACGTAATTAGATAAATTTTAAATTACATTTTGACAGGATCATTGGTTTTTACGGTAGCAATGTACAATAATCGATAAGTCGTGTGTTCAAAACCCACCGGGTCCAACTAATAAATTTATAATTTTTCTAAGACATGTTGGACTATGCCTGGAATCTGGATATTACATGGATATTAGAAATTTCAGAATTTCATCTTAGCAATGCACCACTGTCCACAAATAAAAAGCAGTGAAATTGAATCACGTTTCGGTTTCAGTCTATGGATTTCCGAATACCCAACGCCAAATTGGATGATCGGCTGGCTAGGGTATTTTGCTTACCATCAAGTCAACCACATATTTATCCATCCTCCGTTATCATAAAAAGAACACTAAGCTTACCACAGTCATGTTTCCAGTAACATTGGCCACAAGTGGTGCATACTGGTATACCATCAGCTCATCATAAACTCTGGCTGCCGAGCAGACCAGAAGGCACGCAGTATACAGTATCACTAGTACTATCGGTTGAAACCACGGCTGCAGCCCGCGTGTAGCATCTATAGTAAGGTCTAGGCTGAAAACATAGTATGGTAAAGACTATGTCTGTTTTCTTGTATATGTTATATGATATCAAACTAATATTTATTTTTTGGAAATGTGAATAGTAATTCACCTCTTAGGAATTATAACATATCGAATGTATATATAAATAAAAACACACCGATCCAACACAGAGACCAAACACAGCACGCAGAAGAAATAATATGCCGCCACATATGGCATGGTGACCACGGCATGGAAGGACAAATGACCAGCATCCAGGCTGTCGGAGTAGCTAATAAGTAGCAAATGCATTAGGGATAATCCACCGAGAACACCGTGGCATGCGCCCGCGCATGAACGCCATGCCTTTTGAACAGTTAGGGCGACGTCTAGGGGGGTCGGCTCACCTAACCTATAATTAAAATATAAGATTAAGTATATTACAGTACAAGTATGGTATTTCGTATAATTTTAATATTTGTTTTTAAACATAATTACTATAGTAAAAACCTTATAGATACTGATTAAATAACAAAATAATGTAGTATTGCAATAAAAAACTTAATAATCAACTGATATTCAATTACATTACAATAGGAGGTAATAAAATTTATAGTATGTATTTGAAAAATACAGTTTAAGCCCACCTATTTCTTTTTGCAAGGTAACCTCTGAAATGGCTGTACTTATATTGATAGAACTTTAAGGTTGAAGATTTAAAGAACTTGTTATTTAATTATAATAGTTACCTAGCATATTTCTCTTCCTCCCTTGACTGTTGAGATTCCATTATCCGTTCTCTAGAAACCATTCTAAATGTACCACCACCTTGTAGGTATATCTTCTCAGGTCTCCTTGAAAATGGGTCCAACCGTTCATCATTTGGAGATGTGAGTGGTGATGGTGAAGAAAATGGATTGTCAATATACTGGTCATGATAGGGGACACTCGCTTGTAGGCTTTCTAGCATTGTTGTAAGATCTGCGGGACGGGCTGGAATTAATATTTTTATATAAAAAAGTGAATAAAATTAACAACAACATTTATAACTAATTGATATAAGGTAATTCTAAAGATTGAAGTTCTTTCACCGATAATTCTAAAACTGCTTAAGGCACAAATATAAATACTTGAAGCAAACCAGAAGGTTTGAAGGGGACACGGGGAGAGTTGAATGACCCAAAACCTCTGTAAGGAGGAAATGGGGAAATAGGTGAAATGGTCGACTGATAAAGTGAACTGATCACCCAGTCTACCACAGGTGCCCCTGATAGAAAATAAATAATAATAATTAGTACTTGAATTATAATTTTTTTCGTTTTTGTGGCTTAGCAGACTATTATTGCAAATTATATTCAAATAGCAAAGTGCCTGTTGTCATTTAGCTGTTACATCTACAATTTTAACTTGTCGAACATGAAAAATTAAACACCCTAAATATTATACTTACTGGATTTACTTGATTTACTCTTACTAGCAGTCTTAAACACTTTAGGGCTAACATCTCTCCCATTAGAATTATTGTCATGACGTTCCTCTCGAACTCTCCGTCTTGTCTTCCTAGGCTTATGCCTCAGTTCCCTTGATGAACCATTATTGTTCTCAACATCATGTGCTTCTATCTCTAACTCACCACTTAGAGTTACTACTTCATCTTTGTTATACTCCTTAAGATAATCATCCACCTGGAAAGTAGTATACATTAAAAGGAGAAAAAAATGCTAACAAATTAAAAGTTCTGTTGGAGTATGTACATTTCCAAAAAGTGTAGAATATAAGAAAGCAAATTTTTGGCAAGTTAAGTTAGTTAGTTACCTTTTCTAGAGCTATAAGACTAGAACCAGGAACTTCAAAGTCATGCAAATCTCTATCTCTGTGTTTCGAGGAATGCCGTTTCTTCTTTCTATAGGATGGACTACGCTTCTCCCTATGACCACTAGAAGGTCTAGATAGAGTCTTCATTTTCTCATCAAGTCCATTGGGATCATGGGAATAAAACACAAATGATGGTGGCTTATCAGTTTTCTTAAATTCCTTCTCAACAAAACCTAATATGTCCATTTTTATTTGATCATGTATAGGCAGTTCGGTGTCTACAGATTCTTGTTCTGATTTCGTCCAGGTACCACGAGTTTTCGCCTTGTCTGATGGTTCATTTGGGTCTTCATTGGTTTCGACGTGACCGTTGGAAAGCTTGCGAGAACCAGATCTACTGCGGCCTCTGGACTTGGATTTTTGCTTAGGAGATGGGGAACGAGCAACGGCATGGACCTCAGCTATCTCTTCACGAGTTTCTGAACTTTTTCCCGGCTTCATTGTTGTATTATTACGTACACAAAAACTAAACTATAAGCCATCGAAAACCCAGGTTCGGCAAGGCGTTCTGTTTATTTAGAATTATATTGTATGTTATTTATGCTTTAAACTAATAAAGTACACATGTTTGATTCATTTTCTATGTACGAAAAATAAAATAACAAAAGATAAGCCATTTAGGAAATTAAGTTCGTGATTTTTTGAATAAAACATAATGTCAAATGTCATTGCCCATTGGTAATATATAAACGTATGACGTCATGATGACGTCAATGCGATTCCGTCTAGCCGCTTCAATCAACGCTATGTATCTATCAACTCTATAATATTGTAATGAATATTTTCATAAATATTCACAAATATATAACGCTTAAATACATAAATTACCATTTTATAGAATTTAAAATGCAAAGGCCTCACTTCAAAAGCAAATTTTCTCATATTTCAATTTATTGCCCATATTATTTTAATAATATGGGTAAACAGATGGCGCTGTAAGCAATTCAACAGTGTCATTAGTTTTATTACTTTATTTGCCAAAAAAATACACGAACGTCTCCGTAGGTCAATACTTAAACTTAATTCCTATGCTAAGTTCAAACCCTGGGACACAAAAAATCGTTCCAGTCGGGCAGAGCATCAAAGTTTTCTCATCTTTCAGGTTAGTTTTATCATCAATTAAACAATCATAATAATCGGTTTATTGAAAAGATTCAAACAGGACATATTTAGGTATGTACCTAATATATAATAGTTAAGGTTTAAGAGTAATGCTAAATTGATAATATATAATAATTATTATGAATAATAATATATATTCGTTCGTACCAGTTGGCGACTGGTCTACAGTCTGGACTCACAATTTTGGAATGTAGACGACCTTTGGCGACGCCTATATAATGGATTAAGTGATAAGTTGTTTGCGTGAATCATATCTATAAATTAATATAGTCAAAAATATAGTAAAAGTACATAATAAATAGTTCTAGTAGGCCGGGGTACAGAAGTCTGTTAACGCGATCAGTAATACAAAATATATCTGCCCCTGAGTGGCATATATAGTCTGTTTTTCGAATGAGATTAATATGTCGTTATTTTTATATATAAATTCTTTATTCCAGCATAATTGGGAATTCACTCATTAAAAATTCACATTAAAACATATAAAATAATAATTAATCCTATCCTTGGCTGTGGTTGACATTTGTAATGATAGAAAAAAGTGTAAAAGATTTGGCTGTATTACCTTGGATTTGAACTTGGACCACACAATAATTGTTCAACATTACATTATGCTTAATTAAATTATTCAAATGTATTCATGTTTTATATAATAAAATTAAAAGAAATTATACCACTTGAGATTAAAAGACTTGAAACAAATACGGATAAAAATGTATATCTCTGTAAATTATCATGTATCCAACCACACTTTTGTGGTTTTCGGGAGAAAAAATTTTCCTCCCCCCAAAAAACAAAAAAAATACTCGCCATATCTCAAGATTTATTTAACACGCTAATTAAATGTGAAAAGGCAGAAAATATAGCATATTGTTGTGTTCTAGAACAAGCTGGTATACGAGCGGGAACAAGCCTTTGAAGCGGAAGTTAGATGCCCTTATGTGCTATTATTACTATATAGTTTGATGATTTTTTTTATATATTATTAGATTTAGGATAGAAACATCTAAACTGCGATTAAATGTATGTATTTTATGTCTGTGGACGTGTATACATTTATGTATCTGTGGACGGTGCTTCGTGACCCAGACAACATTTCGTTATGCCTACTACCCATTTAATATAAAGATTTCCAGACAAGTTCCAACATGTTTCACAAAAAAAAATAATTTTCATTCATACTATTTGTAGTGCTACCGACATGTTTATAACACTAATGTTTCCGAAAATTGTGATAAATAATATCGTGAATGTAATATACACCTACTTAATATTACCATAATATCTTCACTCGCATTGAGAAAGAAACATTTACCAATCGCAAAAAAGTGAGTAGAAGATGACATTTATAGTTTAAAAATTGAGGGTTTGATTGTCATTGGGGGTATGTTTTATAGAACTTACTGAGTTGTGTCTATTGCTAAGTTCCCGTCAAATATATTATTATTACGTGAATGTCTGTGTTAATGCTTTAGTGATATGGAAGTAAAATTATTGTAAATAAACCTTGCGGAGGATTAAGCTTAAACATATATTAAAAAAAAAAACACGTAAGTTCAGTGGATAAACACTTTTTGAATCTTAAGAAGTAACACAAGTTTGAAGTGTACTTAAAGTGAGTTTAAAAAAGAAAAATAAAGGAAGGCGGTGTGTATATTCTGGAAGGATCGCAACAAGAACATGATCATGAACCAGATGAAGGGAAAGGTATGTTTTTAAACTATTTCTTATGATAGATGCAAAACAGATTTTCAACTTTTTTCATTAGGCATTTTTTTTCAGCTTACGTACTTATTACTAAAACTATACCAACATGAGACATTATGTCTAAATACTGTTTGGGATGATTAAATGTCGATTCATTGATATTCGTCTTAAATGAATGAATTTCACAAAATACGACTCATTTATTCATGTTTCGTTGTTAGTTATATTTATGGCTTGAGAGTTAATACCGCAGTTTTACTACCTAAACTAATAATTATTGATAAAGCCGAATCGTTTCTGGATCTGAACTAAATTTAATGGATGGGCTTCTATCTTTTCTCGATAGCTCTTGCGTTATGGTAGAGTTTAGGTAGGTCTAACTATAACCAATCAATATAAAAAATATATTTTTATATTCCCGAAGATTTACTATTGTCTTTGCATTTACACACCGCTATAAACAAAATTAAAGAAGACGCTTTAACTAATGAAAACGATAAAGTATTCATATTATTTATTCAATTAGTGACTACTAAGCAAAGGCATTCTCAAGTGTAAGTGCTTATGTGCCAACAAAGTTGAACTGGAGCCAAATAATTTATCGTCAAAGACACGAAAAAGAATAATACAGAACGTCATTCTGTTAACTTTAAAATAAATCAAATCATCACCTTATGTGTGAAAATAAGTAATGATGTAAAAGTTATATAAAATTAACATATGTAATACTGATTATTATGAATAAAAATAAATCTACACAAAAAAGATTTGATTTTAAATCCTACGGATATGTATTTGAATCGCAATTATAAGCAAAGAAACTTTTTTTTGTTAAAATGAAAAAAGTTAGGAAGAATGAGTTCCAATTGTAAGACTTGAAAGTTGATCCTTGGTACACTCGGCAATCGAAACCACGACCCCTTGATAGAGCCATACATTACCAACATTAGACCAACGAGCCCAAAGATGCTTAGTCCTACCCCGTCCTACATAAGAGACAATGTTCTTAAAGCCTCGAAGACACTTGTCCCCCGCCCCCCCTGCGGAGGTCGTCCTCCCCTCTCCATCGAAAGGCACTTTCACTCTAAGAATTTCGTTGTCCGATGACGTCACATTTGCGCAACTTGATGCAATTCAACGCTAAACTTATGCATTTCATATTCGGTTTGGTAATTTAGGCTCAATAAAAGTGGGTTGCGGCCTGCTTTTATTCACGAGAGGAAAAGTAAACAACATATTATATAGAGTAGCTATATTTTTATGACTTTAGTTGTATCTATCATAAGTTTTATGGTTTCATTGGAAGAAACCATTAAGTTTTAAATAGGAGAAATGTGAAATCAATATTGCATTAGTTGTTTTTGAGTATCTTATTGAGATGTTTGATGAACGATTGAAAAACGGGTGATAATTGGTATATAGTGTTATCTTTCCAAAGCTTACAAATGATAGGCAAGTTTATTTTAAAACATACTTTATAAATTCAATATTGAAATAATCTGTTGTAGTCTAAAGTATACATAATAACTGACTTCAGCCAAAATTTAGCCCTCAATTTTATCGTGATTCTGACGTAATTTACCTAAGTATTCTAGCACATATTTCCTCAAACTTACGGCTTAAGTTTTTATAACTTTACATTAGGTTTTTAAATCTAATCAACTATGTAATAATTCTACAAACATTAAGGGTTCGGTATTAATTATGGTTCGAATTGATATATTATAATAATTGTATCACATGGATATTGCGTAATTTAATTTTTAATTTATTATTGAATGGATTCATCAAGGGTTATTCTTTTATAATTTACTTTGTTCAAAGCCATTAGTCTACTTCAATGAAACTACATCTAGCGTAATAATGCACCCTAATCGTTTTAATATTAAGAAAATAGGGCGTCTTATCAAAAGCCAATTAAAAGCATCAATCGAAAATCAATGAATGAAACACAAATGTTATTTCAAATGGCCATTTATTTCGTATCAATATTACATTATCGATTCATAATTTACATTAGTTTGGTCCATTAATAAAACTAAACTAAACGCTAACTGCGTCAAATCTTAAAGCAACTTAATCTATCTTAAACGACCCTACACCGAACATAATAAGTTACGCGTTACATCGGTACGTACATCCGATTAATTTTGTCCCGAATAAATTCGAACTCACTTTATATCTATTTGGCACAAAATTCTTTTTCCTGCGTGTACAACGCACCTTAGTCTAACTTATAACTCAAGATTGCATATGTCCCTAGTTCACGTTACTGTAAACTCGAATTAAATACATAGACATCCTAAATACGCTTAAAACATTAAATAATCTCACACAAAATTATGTACAGTTAGCCTAAAAGTTCATAGAACGTACTAGAAATATATCATAGATATATGGGATAAACATTACCGGCTTTCGACGTGCATTCGAATCGATTATCGATTATAGCGCTCTAATCGCCGGTAAAAAAAGGCTTATTCTAAACTCAATCACTACCCGTCCAATAGAATTCTAGAGAAAATTACCTTTCTCGAATTGAATGGAGGGATTCAAAATGGCGTACTCGCTAGATGTTAAAACTGCTTCGAGTTTAGCTCGACTGCAAACTCGAATAGTTCCCTAGACCGCATTACCGCGGTAATATTATTTACAGTATTCACAATTTTTACAAGCAGTACGGGTGACAGAACTGGTACACGAGCCGTTGGCTCCGCTCCGTCTTCTTCATGATGCCCTTCTTGTAGTACTGTCTGATGCTCCTGGAGAGCTTGTCGTAGTTCATAGCCGGCCTGTTCTTTCTCTTCCCCCACAGTCTGGCGACGCGCACTGAATCCTCAATTTTGAAGACCCCGTTACCTGCGTGACAAGTTCTGAATTAAGCATTGTTTGATTGAACGTGCATGATAATTGTACTTAGAGACGTGTATACCGGTTATCAGACTAAGACATCGAGGATGTTAGAAGTAGTCGTTTAAAATTTAAAATATAATGTCATAATTATATAGATGCGGAACTTTAGTCTGCGCGCGATATTGATAAATATCGTTTATCATTATTTGATAAAGTTTTATTTTCGTATACCATATCTCATAATCAAAATATATACTTCTATAAAATCTTCAATTCTAAGAATGTACATGATAATGTTTTTATCAGTCTAAGCAGCACCAGCAAACATTTTGTTGCGAAGGGGAAGTTTTCCTCAAAACTGTTGCTTATCGTTAGTATAGATTCAAAATGTTGAGATATGTCTTCAAATTTAACGTAACATAAGTTGGTGACGTTAAATTTTGAAGACTTAGTATTCCGCCACAGCAAAGAACATTAACAGCTAAATGAAATAAACCTAATATAATGTTGAAATTACCATAACAGTACAGTCGTGAATACCAAAAATAGAATGGTTTAATGTTACGTATAAATTATAACGACATTGTGCGGATATCGACAGTATTAGGCTAGTCACGATGCGGGCTTTAAAAGCTTTATGTGCCTGACAGTACCTATGGTAAATGGCCTGTTTGCCTTGGCACGAGAATGCCGATATGGATTTAAGACAAAGCGTATTATAGTCGACTTCTTAAGTACAAACTTCAACTAGCTAACTACGAGAAATAAGGCACAATAAACGTTGTACTTAAAACTATTACTGTATGCTATTTTTAAATTCTTTAGATTTGTGAGACCGCTCGTTTTAAGGTGATGTTTTTTTAATTGGATAACAAAACACATTTATCATATCAATTTTCCTATTTCGATGGTATGGGGATTATCATAAAAGTTTTAGAAGTAGAGAGTTAATAGCTGTACTTACTTCGATCTAACCACCGAATTGCTGATCCGTGTACATGGGGCGACGCCAATAACTCCTTCAGGAACTGCCATAAGTGAATGTGGGTGCTTCCTGTCTTAACTTTGCCACCTCCCTGGCTCAAACTTGTACCGGCTGATTCTGAATCTTCATCTACGACAAAATTATAAACAAATATTTAAAAAAAATGCTACAAGCGGAAATCGAACCCATCATAGATCAATCTTTGAAGAAACCCAAACTCTATCTCCTCTTTTACAGTTCTGACAAACAAACTAAATATGCTTTCTAGCATAACGTAAAAGGATTTAAGATTTTGGAGCTATTCTATATATTGTAGTAGTATTAGGAATTTGATTAAAACATTTTCAACGGTTTGAAACACAAAATAAATAAATTAACCTATAGCTACGATTCGATTATGTCTTGAATTCTTTAATAAAAGTAATTGTAATATTTTTTAATGAAGCTGTTAGCAACACCACGTTCGGCATTTGACCTGCCAAATATTTCGGGGGCGAGATAACCTTCCATTCAACAGAGAAATAAACAGACGTTTGCGTAAACAACTCTAGTTTATGGCGTCTATTTCAAGAGGAATCTAAAGGATAAACATTTGAGTTTAAAAAATCTAATAGATAACTGTTTTGGCACTGATACAAACACAGTATAAAAAAACATCAAACCCTCTGTTGAAAGCCAAAATGAGTAGGTAACCTACTAACAAACAGATATTAATGTTACAAAGGAAAATAAGAAATAAATGACTATATAGTTTAGTTTACTTCTGATTTTATTATCATTCATTAAATAAAACGCCAATAAGACATATCAAAAGATAAGAAGTTTAATAAAAATTCTGTAATTTTAGTGCACTGCTGCAATAAACTCTATTGTTGGGTCGTAATACCTTTTTTTTCATACTTTTCTTAATGAAATATTTAATGATAATTGATCGTCTCTTCTTATAATTTAATTTAAAAATGCATCGCAATTTCATGACAAAACTCGAGCACATCAATCAATGCTATATTTCGTCCTAACTATAAACCGGTTTCACATCTGAGAAGGCATTAAAATGGATTTTTAAAATGTCACTCAATTCATCCATCTTGATTTAGCCGACCTTGCGAACGCAACGAGTTCTAAAATCTAGGTTGGGATGATACAAAAACTCGGTATCGCTTATATGGCCATCGAGCACTTACTTTAGATTGATGGATAACTGTAAATCTGTACGACCTAGGCTTTTATTACATTTAATTGGGATCGAATCGAAAATATAAATCTTTAGAAGGTTTATCCAGCAACATTATTTTGATTTAATTCTACGCTATGAGTATTTTCATGACAAACTCCTGCTAAGTTTCTCTATTAGTTGGTATTTTTACTAAATTTTATACTTGAACGACTTTTCATCGTTTATAAAATTTTAACACCAACTGTTAACTCAAAAACTGTCATACTTTGATCAATACTTGTCTCCTTTATTATAATAGTATAAGAGAAGGACAGCACTATCCCATTACTCCAGTTTCGTTTTTATCTGGTAGCTCGTCACCATTCTGATCTCAGTTACGATATAAATCTATCTGTAAGTGGAATGTGCTTCGACTTACTGAGTTAATTGTCGATAGCTGTTTCCTGTGCTACTATCGACACCTTTTTATTGATTACATTATGGCAAGGTTGATTTTTTTTCAAGAGCCGATATCCGTTGCCAATCATTAACGTGCTATCTTGTCATTACTAAGCTCTTAAATCAATACCAGAAATATATACTAACGAAACAGAAAAATAACAACATTAAGGTACGTATATTTTTTAATTAGAACTGTCAATTTTTGTCTTATTTATCTTTAATAGATCTGCTTATCTGTATACAATGGTTTCCTTGCTTCTTTTTTCTTTAATATCAGAAAGAGAACAGACAAGAAGAACGTTATATATTTTGACGAAAATATTAATTTTTAGTTTGTCATTTGGAATGTTACCGGAGGCAAACCTATTTGCTTAATGCTAAATTCCAGTACAGTGTAATAAGAAATTAACCTTCACTAATAAATCAATGCGTAGATGATATTGAAAGGATCATTTGTCATATCCAAGTAACGTTTTGTGTAAATCGTTCGTCCCCTTTCTGTCTAGGCATCGTAAAGCGTACACTCTTGGCTATACATCATTGTACTGTTTGTCTCATATGTGGGTCCGATGCGGATAACGGTTGATCACAATGTATGGACTATAGACTAGACCCACAAAAGGTTTTTCTAGTCCTATTTACGATTGCTGGTAGTTCCATGATTAGTAATAATTCAATGTTTTTTCCATTGATTTAAATACTGATAAAGTTTGTATGCTAGCGAGGAGCATAAAAACGAATAATAATTTATATATCATTTAAATAAAACTTTACACATCCCGTTAACTTTATATATAAGGAGTTGAACTAATATAGCGCGTTTAAAACCGTTAAAGTGTTTTCTTTAAATGTGTACTACTCATGTATACTATAGATAGTATTTAGTTTATATATACATTCCGAATATATATTTATGTAATACTCCCAAAGACGTTTTCTAATGCTTAACACAAATTTTAATGATAAACTTTACACGTTGTATTTGAAATTTAAAATTCGCCATATTTAATTTCGCTATGCTTATTCATACTGCGAATGGTTTAACGGTCGTTAAAATCGGCTTAGCTTTTAAACTAAACACATGCCTAGTTATATTAAACGTTTTAAATAATTTGAATTATTTTAACTTGTTACTTTCTTAATGAGTATTAAGCTGACATGACAGATTGTTTTTCTTCTTTGGTTTTTGTGCATGATTACCATTTGACATATAATGTAAGCAAATAATTCAAAACACATTTCAAAAATCCATTAAATTTGACAGTATTAAGTAATTTGGTAAGGTGAGTTTTGCTTTACAATTATTTTATTTAGTGGTATTTTAAAATAAAATGTTATTTTAACTACCTGGGTTCCAAAAAGTAACTTTCTAACCGTACTGAGGTAATATTTTTTATGTACAATTTAAGTTCTCCCTTATCTATTTCCAATTAATAGTTTTATAGCTCCCTTATGATACATGTGTTGTCAGCCATGTTCAGCTTAAAGGCATTTGTAGTATCTATAATAAGAATACATACCATCACTTGTGTCTTCAGCGGAAGGTAGACCGACAGGAGCTGGCTTAGGCGAGGGTTGCTCTTGTTCCGTCCATGGTGTGCTTCTCCAACTTTCGTGCCTTGCTGCTTTCCAGATTTCCAGTTGAGCGTACAATGTGCTTCCAGCCTGTAAACGAATAGCATTAGAATATTTATAGGTCTTTTTTCCTAATTTTTAATAAACAATTTAGTGGTTAGATTACAATATTGGATAATAAAGTATATCCAATACGCGTCGTTTCCAATGATGATTAAAAATGTGTTTTTTTACACAGCGTATTATAATAATAGAAAAGGCTAAGTAATTGATTTGTCATATGATTTCTTAGTAGTTATAGCACAAGGTGCCTATGAATTCCTTAGCAGTATTTCGGATGTTGTACGCCCTTACTTTGAAAACTTCGTAAATTTAAAGATATTTCATTAAAATTGTATTTTTTTAATATGTGTATCGGTTACTTAGATGAGTTATTTTGACTTGAACAGAACAGTGAATTTTTAATTAAGTTTGTATGGATCACATACAACCTAAAGTGACTTAACTAGCTTAGGTACTTTAGCTATATCAAAGTTTCTTGAGTACGAAATTGTTTTACTTGAGATAATTTTTCGTTTGTCATTAATAATTACTTTTTATGAGCATTATGGAATATTTAAAAGAGACTTCTACTTTCTACTTAGTGTTTTTGGTATATTTTGGCAGCAGACCAGGTTTTATCGATTTGTATGCAAACACTAGCCGAGATGCTGATCGCGACGACTTTCATCGACCTTGGAGAAAGTCGAGCCATTGGTGCGTACGATGACAACCATCTACCCACAGACGACCACGTATTAGGATTACACGCCGTCAAAGGGAAATATCAATCGCGTTTCCCTTGCGAAATATTTGACCCGCTTTGGGAGAGATGAAAGTTTACTTTATTAAAGGGAAACAGAGTTTAAAATGTAACCAGTAGTTCCTGAGTTTAGTGAGTTCAAACAACGCTTCTGCTTTATAGTATTAGTGTAGAAAACTACGAAGTGGTTGTTTGAAGTTCATTAACTAATTAAATTTGCGTTTCAACGCGTTTCAAATTGTATGCATTTAATCATTATATAAACGACAATGCAGTGCATTTTATTTATTCTCTGATGACGCAAATTAATTAACCGATATTATAATAATTAATGGCATGAAGTACTTGCCGTTAAAATTAAGATAATAGATGCTTATGAGGTAATATGTTTATTAAACATATTAATAAATAATCTAATTAAAGTTATCATAAATAATATTGCACAATTACTAGCTACTAAAGTAAAGTAGGTTATAATACGAATTATAATGGAAAACATTAGTTTTGTTAAAATATTTGTTTGTCTAACCTTATGATAAGATATTATTGAATTAGGACATTAGTTATGCGAACTAGATAGATTTTACTTAATAAAATCGTGTGTAATAAAAACACTCCAATAATATTTAAATAATACACCGTGACCACGGGGAGGTGAGCTAAAAATGCAGAGTAACAGAAACGTCGCGCCATAGTAAAAATTATTTTCAAATAAGTTTATCTTATATATATCGCGTTTTAAGCCGTTAAGGTGTTTTATTTAAATTTGTACAACTCGCTAAAGACAGTATTTACCCCAATGATATCTCAAAAATAACTGTAAATAAGTGACCGGTAGCACGTATATCGTAAAACGTGTGTAAATTTTGGTGTGTGTTACTTGATTTAAGGCATCCACAACCACTGCTATATATAAAAATTGTGTTCTGGCTGTGTTCACATGAATTTATAATGGATAAGTTTGTGCTGAATCCTGATCCCGGTTTTCCTTCTTTACCTACCTAAAGTTACATCTTACAACGTAAACTGGTTCTGCAACATATGCCTTGCAAAACTTCCAGTCTTTGTTAATTGGGTTTACCACAGTAAGTTAAGTAACTAATTGCATAATGGTAACCCGATTTTCTCAAACGGATTTCCTGATTGGAAATTGACGCAACAACATTAAATGCAAATAAGTGACGCAAGTGAAAATTATTGCAATATGCAAAAACATTAAACACATATTTCTATAACAATTATATGTATGTATACAATTAATGCGTTGTTGTCTGTAATTAGGTTATTACGATTACGATTTATAATGCAACCTTCACAGAGAGTTCCAGGGTTCGGATTCTGAGGAAATATTAAATAATAGTAATTCGGTAATAGTAACATAAAAGTGTTTGCTAAACGCTCTATATGGGTAATTGGATTTCACAAACAATGTTAGGCTTTAGATGTTGTGCGGAGAAATTACTTAGATTCGTCTAAGTAATAAGTCTAGTAAAGTCTATCAAAGAATTACATAAAATATCTTCATCATATGAACATTTATATCGTATTCAAACTATAGCCAATATTTCTAGTCTACAAATCGTGAGTAGATAGTTCAATGCCTTAATAAAGTGTTAAAAACCAAATAGTTCTACTTATATGTCCCACATAAGTCGTATAAAGTGGACTTCGTACCTCGGCCTTAATCAATGCAGGGTCACAAGATTAAATACAACCTAAAATACTATCTATCGAGTAAACAAAGTCAGCGATATTTAAACAAAAACATAGCTTGCAAGAGAGTTTAAGATGATTTAAAATAATGCGTTTTGTATCTGCAATATGTAATTTAAAAAAATAATGCATAGTACAGATATAGTAAAAAGTATGTTTTGTAGATACTACAAATTTATTTTTTCGACTGATTACTAGTTCAGACGCGGCAACTATTTTGCATTCGATTCTGGCATACTTTTTCTTGGCGTGAATATAAAGATACCTAATAAATTGATATGAGACATGAAATTACTATGTATCAACGTCATAACATAGATTTTTAACAATACATCCCCCGCGCTGATTGGTCGTCATACCGTTTATCTTTGATAGTTATGTCACACAACATATATATAATATATCATAGTTACTAGACGACAACAATATTTCATTAGTAAAGGAAACATTACCAATAATAACGGTAAATGATTCATTGCATTTTCTTTAACAGTAAAAACGGTAAAATGTGACTCATATTGACGTACCTGGGGCGCCCTCTGGTGGAATTCTTCTTCGCTGAGAGCAACAAGAGCTGGGCCGTCCATTGAAAAGTATTCTGTGGGCACCATTGGAAGGTTGTAGTGTTGAACTGTGAACATCACCCATGATTTGACATCACTCGTGCTCCAGTGCATGGGATCTGTCAAAAAAAAATGTAAATATATTATCTGTGGTAGTCTGCATATGATGACTTAAGTTGGCAACACCAACTGAGATGTAAATAAGGAGGTAATTTGATATAATATTTAGGAAACAAAAATAAATGAATTTAAAAGTTAAATTTTTAATAGCCAACCCTAAATATGTATAAGTTAATTTGAGAATCACAAGAAAGTATCGCAGACATAATAATTTCTGGTATTTGAAATACCGATTATAGAACCCAAGTTACATACAGAAGACAAAGTATTAATATTTATGTAGTAAATTTTTTATGTCTCACTGCATATATGTAATTGAATCGTTAGTCTTATTGCACTTTTTTTTAAATCTTGCGTTTTCAAGGAGTTGCTTTAAAAATAATTTAATTAAAAGTTAAGCAAAATTTTGTCTGTGATTTTCAGTCTCACAATAACTAACTCATTAAATATAATACACTCAACATATCTCAATATTCTTCCTACTTCAGTACTTATGACAGCGAACTAAAAAAGCAATTAATATGAAGATCGTCAAACAATTTTATCTATATACGGGAGATAAATTGCGTAATCAGCTATTCCAAGAAACGATCTACGGTTGCTGTGTTTGAGCGGTTACTTGGAAATATTTGATTTTTTATATTCTTTGTCGTCGTGACGTCACCGCTATTAATAATTATTGTGCTAATACTACTACGTTCTATCGACGATATGTGACTATTGACTCACCTGGTGATATGCCGAGCACCGTGCAGGTGTTGTCAACATCGCGTTTCGATTGCTCAATCGCCATAGAAAGCACTCGGTCTATATCTGGTGCTGCTAAGGCGTCGTCTCCACCGCTGCTTTCTTCCATTTTCACGGCTCCTAGCTCGATAGGTATCGGCCTCAAATTGTGCCTCTTCTGGAATGTTGTGTCTTCCAGAGCTGATCTTAACAGAATGTGGTCTCTCGGCTCTTCCAACTCCAGTTTGGGTATTATGTACTGCTGAACACTGTCTTGCAGTATTTGGTTCTCTTTTAGCAGTTCCTCTATGTCTATATATTCCTCGTGCTGAGGCACCGGTGAGGAGTATTGGTTGTAACTGCTATATGAGACGCTGGATCCCGAAGGGGATAGAGGGTAGGGTGAAGCGAATTCCGGTATTGACAGTCTGTTAGGTTCTTCTTTTATGAACACGGGGGAATATTGGAAATTGTAGGGTGACGCGGGTTGTAGGGCAACTGTAGGGATAGACGATTCGTCTGATGTGGGGGAAGGTGTGGAGTATGTCTCGAAATCGTATAGGCGTTCGAGCAGGTTGTCTTCCGGGTAGGGTGGCGGTGGCTTGTTGTGTATCGGAGGGGAATGTAACATGGGCTCCGGTGGGGATTCAGCGCCCAGGAGGCGTAACAGGTGATGTATATCTGAAGGTGAGGCTGGTACCGCTCTTTCGCTCTGTGACGCTGAGGGCGGGCTAAACCCGGACCGGGGCACTGTCTGTGGCATCTGAGGACAAGATCATGATTTTAGACAAGAGAACTTCACGGGTGGCTTGAGCAGACTAAGTGTTTAGATTTAATAAAATTGTGCGTGTGAGTGTGGCAAAAAATATACACAAAAATGATTATCGAAGCGTCTAACTAGAATTTCGCTTACGTCAAGCAAAGCGAGCCTACGTAGCGCCAGATGTCCTGTCAAATATTATTTTGCATCTCACACGTTTATTTATCCTACGTCAGATTTCTATATTTAATAACTTCGTCGGTTCCTAAGATTTATTAGTTATTTCAGTCGCTAGTTTATTGCCTCCTCAACGTTACCGTTACTTTAAAACGTCTTTCATGTTACGATTTTAAACGTTAAATAGTTATGGACGTTTTATTATTTAAATACGTTCGTATTTTATTCTTGTCTTTTGAACAACTGTAACAGATAATGTCATCATATTTAATATATTTAATTCAGTACTCACATCTAACAATGAGATGTGGTAACTTAGGAATAATTTCTTATAAAATAGAAGAACTTTTTTATTTTTTACATGTTATTGCACATGATGCCATTATATAATTTAAAAATCGAAAATAAATTGAATGCCAACAGCACGGAACGCTGACGATGCTGGTTCAAGTCCTGTCCGAGTCAAATATTTTTTAAATTTATTTTCGTTTTTTAAAAAATAGAGGAATTTATTTTTTCTATCTTTGCTTGTTTATGTTTTAGATCACCCAAATAAAGATATATCGAATAACTTACTCTTAACAAAGAAAGACCCATCTTGCTCAACTATAACTTTGAAACTGATTGACGCATTCACTGAAGCATAATTAACTAGGATAAAGACCGGTCAGGTCAGTTCTGGTCTCGTGTTTGCAAGGAAAAATTATATTCTTCACATCGGGTTTTAATTGTTCGAGATGTCGACAATTATTCATTTGTATTGTAAACGATAATTTTTTTATTTTCTTTATTGCTCATAAATTTATTCATACTAATGATGTTCAACGCTTTTGATCTAATTTTTTATTCCACCTTCCATATGTTATATAGTTGTTCTATAAATATATATTCTTTTGTTTTATATTATGGTAAAATGTATTTTGTTTCTCACTTATCTACACTCAACCATCGGGGATTAGATACTTACGTAAAGACGTTTTACGAAAGACATAATATTGTATTTTAAATATAGAAATCCACGTAGTTTTAACTATTCTTAAAAAAGATTTAATTCTTTTTTATGATTCACACAGAAAGAATGTATTGTTCGAAAAAATTATGAACCGTAGCGGAAATGTTACAAAACTAGACGTCGTAAGACTTCAGAAGAACCTTGGTCAAATATTTAGACCTGGACAAATTGTAACTATAACAAAATTAATGCATAAAATATGATTCTTTGTAAAATGTAAGTATAACTCAATATAATATACTTTATTCTCTTTAGAATCAAAAAAAATATATATTTAGATTAGTAAAAAAAGAAAATGAAAATTTTTTGTCTGTCTGTCTATCGTGCCATGAATAAACGACGGGTGAGAGGTTTATCAGCGCACCGTAAAAAGGTTATATAACTTTTTATCGTTAATTCGTTACGTCGCCGGTATTGAAGTTGCGTTTTTTTTTGTATGTACATTGCCGTCACAGGCGGAAATGCGTGACCCGATAGATCGCCGGTGTTACAATTTAAACGAGACCTTGGGGTTTTCACGTTTTACGTTCAGATCGTTGCACGCTGAAATCTTTATACTCAAATTATCCGCAGCATCCGCTCCCCATTTACTTAAGGGAAGTAGTATTTCCTTTGTACAAATTCATCTTCATTTTATAGATATGGGTGCTAGAGGCAGAGTGGCCTAATAAAAAAATGCCCAATTAACTCGAAAATGAATTTTACTATTATTTGTATAAGAATTACGTTAACAGTTTACGGTCACTGTGCTCTTGTAGATTAACATTTTTAGACTATATAAATATAAATAAGTAAAGCGATAAAATTGCAGTTAGGCTACTCTGCCTCTAACGCTCTCATATTTTATAATAAATAGCAACACCCCAACAAACTCTCTCTACTCGTAATAGACTTGAGGGCACATTGTACATTACGATCATGAATAAGAATGAACATAGGTTTAAATAAACACTTTTAACGGTTTAAAACAATCCCGTTATCATATCTCCTGCCAATCATCTAAAACATCGGACCGTAGTTAAAATAATTTGTTAAAAAGTTAATATATGTCGCGTTTTTAACTCTTATAAGTGTTTTATTCAAGTATGTGCTACTAAACAGGTGTTTTCAGTCGAAGCAAGTTAAAAACGACACTAAAAATAATAATACAATGTTTAGTTATAAGATGTTTAGTGCGATTAAACTAAAATTGCCCATTAGTGTTGTAACAAAGCTTTGGTTAACAGCCTTCAAAAGTTGAACGATAGTAGCTTTTAACGTAACGGGATAACGTTAAAAATACCTTGCGTTTAAACGTCTCTTCTATCTTTTCCTCTCGAAGTTAACAGTCTAGTCTACATAACATGTTTGGTAGATTAAAACATGGGAATACCAAAAAATATACCAAGAAAACAGTACCCACTCATAAAAATATTAAAGTCACTGATATAACATAAATTCTGATTAATGATTTGCGTCACGAAATCGTTGGTTTAATGTTTTTTAATGCTCGCTAAAGATACGGTCAGATAGAGTTGACGATTAAGAAATTGAAAAGGTGAAGTCCCGTAGTACCTAGGTAAAATATTTTTTAAATACTTTAATGGTTTAAAACGCGAATCATATTAGCTAACTTATTTAAGTTGAACCACGTGACCACGGTGCTCCAAGCATCTGTAAAGTCGGGCCGTAATTAAATTAATGTTACTTAAATATTTCGAGTTTTTAACCGTTAAAAGTGCTTTATATAAATGTGTACTACTCGCGTATATATAAGCTCCAGGTTTAATGGTTTTGTTAATGAGTAAACAGGCATTTGTAGCCAATGCGAATGCGGCTACGTGTAATTAATTTTGTTTCCTCGGGATTGGAATCTGGTGCTTAATGAAATTCGTCGTAACGCATCTTACTAGCCAAATCAACAAAGTATTTATGTTAAGTAGGCAAAGTAAAAAAATTTAATAACTTTATTTTTTCTATATATTCTTGCATTTTTTTATTCATGCATGGTTTATTTATATGCCAAAATATTTGTTTAAGCTTTTAAAAACACAGATATGTGTGTTATCGTTAAGCTAATAGCTTTGACGTACCAAATACATACATATAACTTCACCCCTCGTGCCTCTAGATTGCGTAGAGAAAAATAACATAGGAGAATACGACAGCATCTCTAGGGCTATATTAGCGTAGGAGAGAATAGTACTAATGCCGCGGGCTTTTTTTTTTGCAAACTTTTATTGACTACAACCGAATATTTTGTAGCAACCCAGACTTATAAGGCCCGTTGCGTGTAAGCAGCCTAACACTAGAACTCACTTGCTCCTTGAATTCCATTGTTCACTCGAATTAAAAACAAACACTCACTCGAAATGTCAGCCGCTGTTAGTCCATGTTTGAGGTTAACCGGCGTTTTAAGGTTACGCGTTTCGGCCCATGACCGCGTGTGTTCCGCGAGTAGATCACCTAGGCACTGAGAGTTGCGCGCGCGCACGCAGCCTTTGATTCAATGGACGCCTGCGTCACGCCGGGAAATACGCTTCTAACATACTGCCTGCATCTTAACAATACGCTACAGGCGTCGAAAAGTAATTATCTTCAATGACACTTACTATAGATTTTCGGCGACATTGTTCAATACGTTTCCGTTAGCTGTCAGAAAAAGCGATGACGTCACAATTGCTTAATGGAAGGAAGCTAAAACTGTCTTTCATTCAGTAAAACAATTACTATTTAAATGACATTTGAATTGATAACGATTCTATTATATCAATAAATATAGTAAATGTTATTTAAAACCATAAACATTCAGAACTCAAAACAAGCTAAACGTGGACAATTATTGTTTGATATCAACCCCTTTCAGTTGTCAGTACTGCTACGCGTCGTAGGCACTTCAGGAATCGTAGATGGTTCGTAGCTCCGTAGCTGTTTAATGAAAGTGGTGCTAAATTTCATGCCTCGTAAAGATCCATATAACTTAAAAGTGCTTTATGAACCATTTAACAAATACCAATAACCATACATACCGAAATGAATTTACCTATAAATTTATAATTATCTGGAAAAGACTTACTGCATATTATATCGAATTCCAATAGCCATGAAAAATTTCTACATGCTAAGATTTGACTAGTATGTGATATAAAAAATACGTAAAAAAACTAAGGTCATATTTGGTATTGCAGTAAAATATGAACGGTTTTCCCAAGCACTGCATCTTAAGAAAACCCATAAATTGACCCACGGCTAATATTCTGCAGTTCCAAGTAGATCACTTGTTTTACAGTTGAATTACTCATAGCGTACTTAACGTAGTATTTAATATAGGTCCAGTAGCATAATTGCATATAAACTAACTCACTTATTACCATTACAAATATAAATTAAATCACATTGAAATAACGTGATTTAGTTCCTAGGGAAAATCTATTGAATGATTAAGTCTACTTAATCATGCAAAGAACACTTTTAATTGTGAGCTATTGTTATAGTTAATTTAATGTAGGTGAAATTGTCTCCGTTCTTGGAAAATTAATTAGTGTTCCTCGCGTAAATCTTTCGGGCGTCCGTTTAACAAATAGAATTACAAACTAATAAAATTTACACGACAGGTTCTTTCTTTGTTTGTTTACCGTTATCGGTAATGAGCAAATTATTTATTATGAATCTAATGAATGAATTACATAGCTGTTAGCTTAGGGGGCCACATTCTGATCCGGTGTTTTTCATACATTTATGTCATTTAAAGGAATTTTTGTTACACGTGTCGATCGATTGTGCGACTTCCTAAAAACGGCAACTTTGTCTTGAAGGTGTTAATTCGGTAATAGAACTAAACAAAATAAGCGGCGAAACTTATAAATGTAGGTACATTTCTATATATCTGATGCCGCTGTATTACGAGTGTTGCTATAAATAAAACACTAGCAAAAACACAGGAAGTTCGTGTTATTGGCGAACGTAAGCCGCCCTAATCATTCAAATTAGCATACATAAACCGAAGACAATATATTTTATGGCACGTGTAATCTCGTAATACCTAAAACATTTACTATGCATTTTTTGCCCGCCCAAAACAACCTTTCAAACTCGGAAACAATTAGCCGATCGAGCGTTGTGATTGGTCGAAATGCGTGACGTCAGTAGCCTTCACTTCATTCATAGTCTAATTATATCTAACGACGATAAAGACGGCTTAGCACGTGGGAAAAACTTTTGTCCATGATATAATTGTTTACATTAACATGTTATGGCGTATGTTCAAGCAAATATACGAAATAAAATATGCCATGTTATATTGGAATAAAGGTGAAAATTGATTGGTCGGTTTTTCGAAGGGAGTAAGACGTTTTGTGATTTTTCCTTAGATTCTTATATTTGCGTGAGCGTCTTATTTGTAAGGAATAGCTAAGTAAAATGTAACTGCAAATATTACAAACATACGATATTATTTCAAGGGTAATATTTTTTACACAGACAAAGTATATATTTGATTGTTTTAAAGTTCTCTAAACAACTACTATGGGGGATGTAGCCCAAATCTTATAGCTATATAATTATGAAACAATTTTTAAATAGTACGAGATACCATTTCTGTATAAATATTTATGGCTTAAAATATTCAAAATCCAACATCATTCAGTAATTACGATGTGACGATATATACTTGTGTTAAAAATAACCTGATGTCATATTAAACCAACATGTTTTTGTTATTTATATGTCACTAAAATCGTAGATTCAGGTCAAAGGTCGGTCTTATTAACTTATAAGGAATGGAAAAATCATATGTTTTTCTAGGTTGCGTCATATTTTACTAAGCATTTTATAAAGTAGTATATGTGTCTTTTGTCAACTGTCACAGTCATTTCTCTATACTTATAGATGAGTTATAATAAGCAAAAGGCATTCGTTTTCTATCGATCTAGTTTGATTTCGTCTAATGATTGACTTACAATTTTTTATTTAATACAGTATACATATAATAATTTTAGTAATATATTAGGACGAAAGCGTTCGCATTTAACTATCTAAACAGAATCTTTGCTATCGGTACTTAAGCTTACACTCTTTTTTTTGATAGAGGAGACAGACAAGCATGAGGTACGCTTGGTGGTAGGTGAAATACCCCAGCCTAGCCATAGACGATGCGCTGTCGACCTATTTTCATCTATGGACGGCGAAATTACGGAATTCCTATAACCCATTCCAGATTTCCAGACGAAGTCCAACATATTTCAGAAAATTTATGAATCGATTTGAAATATGTTGGACCCGGTGGGGATCGAACCCGCGACCCGTTGTTTATTAGCCATACATTGCTACCATTACATTAACGAGCCCGTGAAAATCTTGCTTAGCTTAGCGTGTTCTCCTCGGATCCGAACCTCGGACCAGTGGCACTTAATGCAAGGCAATAAGTTTAAATAAATTAGTAACTTTTTACAAGTGACTCCGTAAATGACCGAATATGTATGTATGAAATGTAACATTCCTGATAAACAGAACGTTAGGAATACAAACACAAATCAATACTAAATCGCCCTCAAGAAAGGGCCTGTGACTTATCTAAGTCCAGTGTTGTATGCACGTGACTTGAAGACTGAATCGAGTTGCGTTATGTAATTGGAATTGCCAATTGAGTAAGCTTAACGCCCACGCCGATGTTTAAAATCACAGTATACTAAAGGCTTGTAAGGTAATTCTTTAGATGAAAGCTTATAAAGAGAACTATTTCTTTTCTCCTATTCTTGCTCAAAATAAGTCAAATATGTCTAGATAGTTTGCAGCAATGTATAAAAAGGCGTGAAGCTTAATCGCGATTCGGGTTTAGTCTGTGGATTTCCGAATATTCAACGCAGTAATAGGTCGGGAACACTTCTAGTTATGATGGTATAGGCTGGTGTGTATCGCCTACCATCTAGTGAATCCTATGGTTGTCCCATTAAAAAATTTTTTAAAAGCAAGACGTAGATAGACAAGTAAACATTACTGTTTTAAGATTTTTCTTTTTCTTCGCACAGTTTAAATCTTAGGATTTTGTAACGTAAATATTATTCCAAGAATGAATTTGAAATCTCTCTAAACACTCCGCTAATATTTTTTACACGATAGCATTAGGTGTATAAAAAAAAAATGTTCGGTAGCTCAGTTGATAAGAGCGGAAACACGCTGTGGATATCGGTTCGAGTTCCACCCGAATAGTGAAATTTTTTAAAATTTAAAACATTTTGTAATCTCATTTCCGTTAAGTTCAAATACCTGAACACCGTAATATCCACACAGCAAATCCAAAAATGACACCACCATTTCACTTGTATTTAAACTAAATTTAAAAAAATAAATATCTTTTTTGTTTGACGTGCTACGTTTAGCACTGTTATCTATAGAAGAATTCAAATTTTCAACGATAACCCGATAATTATAATATTATCGACTCCCTTATCGCAAGGGTACAAAGTTCAAGACAGTTGTTGATTAGATACCAACATTGTCAGTATTTGTTGCGCATTTTCATAATGATAATAATTTACATATTAACAGTAATGATACTCATTAACTTTTCTTGTTAACTCATTTGTATTTAAGTGTTTCGCATATTAACTAGAACGGACTAGAGCATTTTTCTTTATAAGAAATAATTAAATGAAATTGCTACCTCAATATAGATATTGGCAGATAGTTTAAATCCAATTAAAAAAGCTGGGCTAGTTAAGATTGAATAAGACGGGCTCGTTGGTGTAATGGTAGCAATATATGGGTAATAAGTAACGGGTCGTGGATTCGATCCCCACCGGGTCCGAAATATTTCAAAGTTTTCAATTTATAATTTTTCTGAAATATGTTGGACTTCGTCTGGAAATCTGGATATTAAAGGGTGGTAGGAATATCTTAATTCCATCCGGTCACAAACCACCGTCCAAGATGAAAAAGCCGTCAAGTGTAATCATAATTCGTGTCTATTTCGGAATATCCAAAACCAAAATAGGTCGACCGCGCATCTTATTTAGATACTTTCACTAATCATCGAGTGAACCCTATGCTTGTCTATCCTCTTCCATCATAAAAGAAATAATGCTCCTCACGTTATAGCTTAAAAAATATATGAATGTATGCAAACGCTGGTTTGAGCTGCAGACAAAATGTGACCAAACAATATAGTGTTTTAATAAACAAATGTACGTACGAAGCGACTTTATACTTCTTTAACTATAATTCTAAATCCTATTGATTTGTATGCAAAACTTGTGGTTTGTCCCAGAATATCCGTAAACCAAGGACACCGTCTATGTGTAACACTAAACTACACTGAATAGGAGTCCTAATAAATATCGATCGTAATTTAAAGTATATGAGCGTTATTTATAGTGCTTTATAAATAGCATTTGATTTTATTTTTTAACTTCTCGTAGCAACGAATCGCGCGCTTAAAACTGGTTTCAAGGTTTGGTTTTTCCATTTAAAACAAAATGGCGGAATGCACAGCGCACGTATAAGCTCTGTAGATTAGCATATTAATTGTTTTAATAAAGTTTATCTTAATTAATTGTTAAGAATTTTCGTTGTAAATGTCAGGCATTATTTGATATTCTCTAATGATTTTATATATTTGAAGTATCCAAATAACAAATGCACATAAAGCATTACGTTTACGACGAAATATGTTAGTTATTAAACGTTACATCGGCCGTAGTTAGAATATTTTTTAAACAAGTTTAACTAATATATTATTTCGTGTTTATTCGAGTAAACTACAGCCAGTATTTAACAGTACTTATCTAGCATCTTCTTTATTTTATCTTCTGTCATAAAATATAATACAAAGATTTTGGGTGTTGGATAAGTGTTTACAGCACTACAGTAATTTAAAAATAAACTTATTAACTAAATGTCAAACTATTCAAGGGCGTCGAAATGTATAAGAAAAACAAAAAAAATACGTTTATTTTAAAAGCGTTGTAATCTAGACAAATCTACATGTATTTACTGGTAAACACGATTTAATCGCATTCAATTTGCAATTCTAAAAGCTTATATAGATTAAAACGATGATAATTATTAAAACAAGATCAATTATGTACAAGAGCTTAAAGGACAAAGCTTTACCAGTTCCGTTGGTACTAAGTACTACTAAGTGACACGGCGGCCTTGCCTCGGTACTGTCTGACGCAAACAGTTCCCTTTCACTAAAATCGATTGGATATTATTGTGCGTAAATTGGTTATTATTATAAAATACGGTTGAGTTGTGGTCTTATCACTCTGATCATGTTTTATGTAAAATAATAATTAATTACATTATATAATAATACGGAATTTTGTTCCTCAGATCATTTGTGCATAATGTTATTCCAGGCACGTCTCTTTCTGATGAATACAAAAGGGTAAATAAAATAAAAACAGAGATAGTCCCGTTCCCTCGGGTGGGGATGGGACAAACAATCTTTACTCTGTTCTTTTTATCGGTTGATTTTATTTACAGACACCTAGTTAATCAGACGTCTGTGTACCGCATCCTAATAATTACTTGTTTTCCCGGGACTCAAACCCTCCATGGGTTCTTCTTGCTCAACAACTTCTTTAACAATTGAGCTACGAAGGTGCAATTATAAGTTATGTTAAAACGTGTTCGCTCTTTGCACAGTAGGATTCAAATTAAGCCACCTCCATACAGTTATTATAGAAAAACAAGGTCGTTAGTATTATAATTTGAGGAAAATTTAACAATTTATTCTTGAATTTTTCTCGCGTGCCTAATTACTATATTCACAGTTGGTAATAATTTAGCAGATAAATATAATATCGGTATAATTCCGATATTATGTTAGAATATTAGCATATATATGTTACTCGCGTATATTGAGTTGGGTAGAATAAAATGACGTAAATATTTCAGTTCTAAAATATCAGAGTTTTCTATTTATTTGAAATGACGAGTCCAACGTCGTCAGGAAGGTCGTAGAAGATCGAAATTCCGTCCGGGTCACACGAAAGCCAAGTAACGCACAGTTTCAGCCTGAGCATATCCCAATATAAAAAGGCAAAAGGGCTGCAGCGTTCTTGAAGCTTAACTGGGGTATTTTGCTTTCAACGAAGTGAGCCCTATTTTTATAAATAAATGAAAACAAAGGAGTAACAGTCGTTTCCCTTTTTATTAATAACAATATTAGCAATTAAATAGATCTAAGACTAACATAGTCTTGTTTAATATAAAGTTACTTAAGAAAAGTAAAGGAAGGAGGTTATTATGTTCACTATATGTTCATATTATATTTTCTATCTTGGTCTAGTAAAGGACGAATCCTGCTCAGTTACTATTTAAAACTTATTATTCAAGTATCTACCTTGCCTACAAATTTCAAGATAAACGAATTATTTATACTTCAATGTCAACACTTCGTTTTATTTTTATAATAATAGCGATAACTACTAGATAATAGTCCCAAACAACAGAGGCCGCACTATGACATTAAGAGGTATATTTCGTTATTTAAAAACAACGCATTTGAAAAGAAAGATAATTACGACTGCGATTTTGACTGCAATTTTACAGATACATAACTTTGAATAAATAGACTGTTTATTTGGGAGGTACTATATGCATAACAAAAAGTTTGGCGTTTCGTAAAGAGCGAAAGATCCGTCGAGGAGTTAATTAGTCTGATCAACGACTAATCTGAACAAAAAACAATTGTGAAATGGGCACAAAAAAATGTCTATTTTAAATAATGTACTTTGGGAATACTGAATAAGACATTAGTAAATTTTACCAACCAAATCGTTTGGTTTGAACCTATATTCTACAGGTATGTACAGGTCTTCCTTTCATAAATTTTAATTTTAGAACACTACAACGTAGCACTAGTGCGTATAACCAGTACCGAAAGCTTAACATCTCCAAGGCTTGGATCAGCTCAGTAACAGACCCCGCGAAGTAAGAGGTCGAAATCTTGAGATGAGTTACCTTTAGAAACACCAGTTACTAAGTTATATCGATCGTTTCTGACTCATAAAGTCTCTTAAGCGCCCAAGAATTCGCAATATTCATCTCAAATTTTCCTGTTATAGTATTGTAGCTTTCGTAACGCTATGAATCACATATTGCATAGTCATGTGTAAGCGACTGGAGAAATATCTATCTATTGCATACAAATAGAAAGAGGTATATGTTTGATGAAAGTTTCAACCCAACCAATATGGCGCACACATTAATATTTTGAAAAAATACTATTTATGTTATAATAGAGCCTTTGAAGGTCCCTAACAGACTTCGAGCTTACTTGAATATCGAGAAAAGCTGTGTGATATCGACATAACACCGTCTTATCTATTAGTTTAGACTTACGTAAGTCTAACAATTGTATTTGAATACGTTTCTTGAAGTAATTAAAATGTCATTAAAAAACAAATACGTAATAAAATGTACACTAAAATTAATATTAATTAACTTTTTAAAACAATAGTAACGACATGTTTATAGTCGAGTAATTTTATGGAATCGCTAGAACAATACATTTTCACACAATACATTAACTACGAATGAATGACATACAAATCAATTTTCGTGACGTACGTCATAGTTATTGATATGTCAATATGATATATCAATTTAAGTTTTACATAGAAGTTAATTTATGGATCCTTTGCAGTACCAGACGTAAAAACCAACAGTTAAAATAACAGTGACTAAAAGTATTAATTTATTGATGCAACTGTTTAATAGTGCGTTTATTCTTAGAAATAAATATTTTACGTCATTAAATTAGGGCTAAGTTATATAAATTACGTAAACAAAGCATCCTTTTGGCTTTTATATGTCTGAAGCTTGATAAATACATTGCATATGCGTCGCATTCTTCTTGTGTGTAAGTCATGCTAAGTGTAACGTTTTTCATGAAATATTAAGAGAAGTGAAATCTATTTAACAAATATTGAGGAAAGCTTTGATAAAAAATTAATGTAGATATTTACTTTAAATTATTTTATTTAATATATAAATGAATACATTTTATTTTCATAAAAGTTTATTTTCATAATTTTAACAAACAAAACTCTCTACAACTTCATATGATTTTTACACAAATTAAAGGCTAAGGATAAATCATATCTGTTGTTTTCGCGAGTAGTTTACATTTAAAAACCACTTTAACGGTTTAAAACGCCAAATATAGCCGCCTCCCTGCGACCAAGGCCAGCAGCAAAGCATCTAAAAGGTCGGGCCGTAGTTAATTTTTCTTTATTAAGTTTACGTGTTTAAGTTTTATTAAGTAAAAGTGTTTTATTTAAAGTGAAAGGTTATTTTAATAATTA